ATGAGAATGAAGTTGAGGAAGGGATCCTCAGTAGAATATCGAGGAAGGTGTTGTGAAGCAAGAAGACCTCTTTGTTGTCAGTACAGTAAGGGGATCTGATGATCTTCCAGCCTTGAGCAGGGGTGGGGGAGCACTTTGCCTATAGTATTTTCATAGTAGGATGCTTAAGTACTGGAAACAAACTTTATGCTGCATGATAAACTGATACAAGCTGGCTAATTCACCTCATTCTGTACTGAGTGTTAGGAAGGATATACACCTATACCTCTGCACCCAGCTGCTGCCTGGCACTCTGCTGAGGAGACCCAGGAGTACTAAGGGGATGGATAGGAGGAGTGTGCCTTGTTTTGGTTTTTCTCTAGCTATGGTGCACATTTCATGACAAGCTTCTGGGCAAGGGAGTCTGCCAAAAGACTCTTGCTGCCCTGAAGCTGGATTACCTGGATCTCTACCTCAACTATTAGCCTTTTGGATTCAAGGTACAGTAACAGCAATGCCCTTGGCTTTCACTACTGGAAGACCTCCTCAAAATGGCTAGTAACACTTGTACCACTACTGCTGCTCCAGTCCCGAAAGACCACATGTCTGTTGTGTGCATCAGCACTGTTCCAGTGCCACTCATTCAGCTTTACTCTGGCCATGTGAGCCAGGCTCTTGTTCTCTTCCCAAGACCACTGCTTGCACAGCATCGTCTGCCCTTTTGATTGTGGGAGAGGCAGATTTAGCACCAAGATCTACAGCTGCAAGCATAAGCTATGCCACTTTCCCTTTCTTCTACAAATCCAAAGCATGCTCATCTGAAAATTACCCCTTGTGGGAAAGAGGGCTGTGCTTTGCTGCCTGACAGAAATGCTTTCCTTTGCATGCTACATAACTGCAGAGCCAAAGAAAACGCTTGTTTTCCATTTCTCTTTAATCACCAAGTACTAAATACAGTCCAAATTGAGCTGACCTTGCCTGTAGAAGCCTTAGTGTTGTTTCACAGATCTTGGATTGCAAAAAATGCAGCTTTTCAATACCAAACTCTCGCAGACTACATGTACTTCAAAGGATTTATGTCTATTTGTATATACATACATATACCATTAGCCTTTCCCTTCTGCTACATCCAGATCAAAATCTCTATTCCATCTCATGCTTTTGAACTCAACTTTATTTCATTCTCTCCATATTATTTTAGTTAGCGTTATGTGGACAAAGCTGTCAAGTGAAAGTGCATAATACCATGGCATATAGAAAATTCCAATAGTTCAAAACACTTCGGCCATACTGTCTAGTTACAGGCTCTTCTAACTTTCCTAATAGAGCAACTTCATCAGTGAGCCTCCCCACGGGAAATCTGGCAGCAGTACTTTGTCAGAGGTGTACTCCAGTAGAAATGTACATTCATGGGACCATGTATTTCTTTAAAAACAACTAAAGAAGCTATTATTCCTAAACATGTATAATGGAACAATACATGAACTGAACTCATGTAAGATTCCAGGATATTGTTCTATGAGTAAATCACTTCCCTGCATGTATTTTGTGGATCATCGCTTCAATGGATTCAGCAGAAATACCTCTTTATTGGGATAGTAGGTGGCAAAAATGCCATGACCCTTCATGAACTAAGAATGAGAAATAACTGAAGAATTAAGTTATACTTCAGGGTTTTTTTTCACGCACTGTCAGTTCTAGCTCCTTAGATTCCTGTTTGGTTATTTTATATAGCTAGCATTCCAATTGAGAGTATTTCAAGTATTTTCTCTCCCACTGACAGGCAGAAAAGGAGCTGTTTCCCAAAATGACAAAGGCATGTCTATACCCAGCAACACAGATGTTCTACAGACATGGGAGGTTAAGTTCAGCCACAGCAGAAGAGACATGGGCTATAGCCTCACCAGCCTCTTCCACATTTTCATTACCTTCAGTACTCACAGAAGTGTTGTCTTATGCATACAAAATCAGTTGGAAGGAACATAAGGCAGTACAAAGTAGCTTTTCATAATGTCCACGCTTAGTCATTACCTAGTTATTCCTATTCCCTGAGCACTTTGACTGCCTGACCCATAGTGAGCTGCACAGTCACCTTCAGTGGAGCTGCAGACAAGACTGAGGTTAGAAAAAGTTCACTGCTTGACCACAAGTGTACCGCTGGGTTCACCATAGTTCTTGCTTCCTTCTTGAATTGCTCAAAAACATTTTACAGAAATAAAGACATTTTAGGTTGAGATCTTGCTTACAACGTGGAGCAGCACCCTCCCATGCTGTTTTGCCAGCTCATCAAATTAATAGCCAAAACCCAGAATTATCAAAGACTAAAGTCTTCAAATAACTCTTGAGGAGATGCAGAGGTGGTGGCAGGATCTCAGAAGATGCTCCCGGATTGATGTGAACTCAATATAAGAAAGACACCAAGGTCTTAGAATTGTATTAAATCTCTAACCTCTGCCTGCATTCCTGCCTTAGCAAGCATCTGGAAGGTGAATCAATGCACACCATTTAGCAAGATAAATATCCACTTTCAGTATACTTCTTTCCCAAAGGTCTTACCATCATCTGACAATCCCAGTCATGCCTTCAGGACAGAGAAACAACTGACATCTGGAGAAAGCGTCAAACCGACAGGTACAAACAGCAAAGCAAAATACTAACCTTCTGCCCAGAGAAGACCCCTGGTCTGATCCATATTCAGATGCCATCATGTTTCAGTCTTCCCAGCAAACAACAAAGCAAAATGCAAACCTTCTGCCGCAAATCCTCTGCTAAAAGACCAAGATATATCTCATTCAAGAAACCATTGGGGAATACCAAGCACCCACCTTCACTGGAGAAATGAGTTTGCAGAGGAATCACCACCAAAATCTCAAAAGAAAAGAAGAGGAATGACAGACTTCTAAGCCAGGCTCTCCACCAAGTCTCTTTATCTGTTCTCACACATTCTACCCAGCTCCTTGCTGGAGGAACACAAGGCTTTGAAACCTCTCCCTAAAAACACAGGCTCAGAAGAATGAGAACAATGCAGGGTTTTCCACCCTTTTGTACAGGAGATTCCATCTTACTTGGACAATCAGGCATTGTAAGCTGTCACAGACTCACTAAGCACAACTCTGATGGTACCAGTTCTCCTTGGTGCTGCTCTAGTACAAAATCTGACTGATTCTGGTAGTTCCTACACCAAGATTTGAAACCCACTCACCACGGATTGTTTGCTGAATGTGGCACTGCTAACAGTAACAAATCACGAGCATAGCACTGCAAGCTTGAGGGGCTCGGAATATAAAGGAGAGGAGGAGCAAACTGGCACTTCATCTGATCTCTAGTCTCTCTGGAGAAAATGATTACAGCCAAGGCAAAATCTGTCACTCTGCGTTTTTCACTGACTTCTCTGAACAACGAACCAGGCCCAAGAAGCTGAGCAGACTCAGAGAAGTCCTATGGAAAAGGAATCTCAGAAAAAAGGGATGAATGATAAGCGCTGAGTTGTGTAACTGTTATGTAACTGATGGCACTAACAAAAAACAGGAGGAGAATTAAAGAGACAAACTAATTATCTTGCCTGCCTTCAGTTAAATGAAGCAAAAAGAGCCAGGGCATCTGCTGTGGGAGAGGCACCCAGAGAAAAATGCACCATTACATGTACTCCAAACTTCCATTTGTACCTGGATCCATTCTTCAAGCACAAGCAAACATTAGAGCCTCACAAGCAACCCTAACATACCATTATGGAGTACTTACAGGATCCTGCTGATAAATCAAGGCTTTTTCCATTGCATTCTGACCAGCTTATCAGTACAGCATGTTTTGCCTCAAAAATCAGTTTCTAATGTGAAATTAAAAGTCACCTACCAATTATTTGTACATATGTATATTATATTCTGAAATATGGTCTGTATCTAAAAACAGAAGGGCAATGTGATCGCGTCATTCACAAAAAACTCGCTGTTCTTCTGCAGCTTCAAAAACATACTAACACTTTCTTCCAACATTTAAAATGCAGTGGGTTATACTCACTATTTTCTAAATTACTGAAAAGCACACTTACCACAAAGTGAAAGCTGCATTTGTCCCATCTGGAGAGGGGAACAGGGTGCTCCCCATTCTCACCAGGCAGCCACATCAAAGAATCTCTACCCACCTCACTTCATTAGCACAAGCATCAGAAGGTTCCTGAGACCAGCCCATGGCTACCATCACTGTTGCGGGGACACTGCTCAGCCCGCATACAAGCTCACGGCTCACGGCCCGCACTTGCGTATCCCATCGTGCCCCAGGACTCCTGCTCATTGTCTCATTCTGGACTTTACCAATGTCTTTACCAAGTCAAATCGTGCGGCCCCTGAATGAAACAAACCTCTTATCAGGTAACCGAAGGGGTGAATACCGTGTTGCCAACACCCCGGCGCGTACCACGAGCAATGCGCGTGAACATCCCGTGGCGCAGGGGCAGGGCGCTGCGTTAGGTGACCCCTGTACATACACCGGCCCGATGGGCGCACAGCCGCCCTCACCCTTTTGGGTTACAGCTTCACTGGGGGGGTGACTGAACTGACTTCACTTCAGCTCTCACGGGGCCTGCCCTCGAAGGGTCGCTCAGAGGCCCTCTGGGTGCCCCGGCGGCCGGCTCCTCCGGGCCTCAGCAGCTGGACCCGCCTGCCCGCTGCGCTGAAGTACGTCGGAGAAACACTGAACCGCTCCAACGCGGGAGGGAGGAGCACTGGGGTCAGCCCGGAAGCGCTGCAGAGCTCACCCGAACACCCCTACACAGCCAAGGCTTCCCCCCTCCGTACCTGACCCCAGCACCAGGGCAGGATTCCCATTGGTTGCTCCGCTTGCTGCTGATTGGGCTGCGCTGCCATCGGGGCAGGCTTCGAGCTGTGATTGGCTGCAGGGGAAGGGAAGGCCAAGCGGCACCACCCCCCTGGGTGGGAGGGGGTGTCACTCTGGGAAAGGGTTTTACCAGCAGGCGGGGAGGGGGCCGTGTTACACCGTTCCGCGCGGGTTGTACGGCGTATTCACAAGTGGGGCGATGGCGACCTCTGTGCGGCTGGGCACCGCGGCCAAAGTGCCCCTCCTGGGGCTGGGCACATGGAAGGTAACCGCGGCGAGCCTGCTGCAGCGGGACCCTGCCGCAGCTTCTCGCTTCGGTGGGGCCACAGCGTTGCCTGCGCCACCGACATCGCGGCCGGGGCTCCCGCTCAGTACGGCCGTGCCGCCGCAGCTTTTGGCGTTGGGGGTCGCTCTGTTCCCGCTGCCGCTTCGCAGCACCCCAAGCTCCTGCGCCGCGGTAGGGCTCTGCCCGGGAATGCAAATCACTGGGGCCTGGGCTGAGGTCCCTCCTGCTAGGTTAAGTCTTGGCTGAACCTGCCGGAGGATTGCTCCTTTGAGGAGTGGTGCGCAGAAGTGAGGAGGCCCTGCCCCGGCCATGGAGAACGGCCCTGGTGTTAAGGCCTCAGCTCTGCAAAGCCTCTCCAGAGCCCTGCTGAGGAGTGGGGTGACAGAGGAATGGCCAGAGCCTGGTTTTAGGCTCAGGAGGCTGTGCTTGAGATGTCTGCAGACCCGAGAAAGCTTTATGGAAAAGCTCCTGTTAAAGCCTCTACGTTTATCTATTCTCTGGCTACCTAAGGAGCAGTGTATGAGAATCCCAAATCCAGGCATGTCATACCTTTTCTCTCTTCAGTCCCCACCAGGTAAGGTGGAAGCTGCAGTGATGGCTGCTATTGATACTGGTTACCGACACTTTGACTGTGCCTACGTGTACCAGAACGAGAAGGAAATCGGGGAGGGGATCCAAATGAAAATCAAGGAAGGCGTTGTGAAGCGAGATGACCTCTTTATTGTCAGTAAGGTAAAGATCAGATGGTCTTGGACTGTGAATGTTTACAGTAGGAAACTAAAGTAGCATTGCTATAGCATTGGAAAACCTTGTAGTATAAATGAGATCAGCCCTGATACTTTTTTGTTTCCCTCCATCAGCATGGAGGTAGAGTTTGATTACTTCTTGTTTGATTACTTTCACTGATGGTAATTGTTACTGTTGTAGCTGTTGGGTAGGAAGAATGAGCTCACTGAGGCTCGAGCAAGGAGAAGAATCACCCTCCTCTGAACTGTCTGGTGGTAGTTTTCTTCCCCAGTCAGTCCTATAACACTGAACGAAGTCAAGGCTCTGAATCCTCCCCAGCATCTACAGAAAGCTTGAGCACCCCAGCCCTGCTGAGGAGACACAGAAGTGCTGGGGTATGGATGAGGAGAAGCCATCTGCAGACCAAGTGGTACAGAAGGAGGGAAGTAGGGAAAGGGACAGTGGGGCCAGGCAGCACCAAGCAAGGTAGAAACCCATGATGCAGACATCCAAGATCACTCAGTGTCATGGACTGATACAGAAGAGAATCAGTTTCATGATGGCATCTCCCTGACTGCTAAAGCACAGTAGAGGAGATGAGCCTGGCAGTGCCAGCTGCTTGTTCCAGCAGCTGGGCTCACACCCTGCCAACAGGGTGTCTCTGCTGTGTGAGGAAGATGAGATTTTGGGCACCCTGTAATTTGTTCAGGGTGCAGTATAATCTGTTCAACATGTGTCGCAAGGAAGGTGTCATTGGTGGGTTCTGTTTCTCTTGCTTACTAAGGAAATCAGACTATTTAGCTAGATGGTGAAGTTGCTTCTTGGTAAAAGTAGGTGCCAACCACTTCTTTCATAGAATCATAGAGTAGTCTGGGTAGGAAGGGAGCGTCAAAGGTCTTTGGCTAATCTTATATTTTTGTGGCTTTCCCTTCTACATTCAATGCAGGTGTTTTATGTATGGTTAGGAATAGCAAACACCTTCATTTAAAAGCTGCCTATTGCAAAGGCAGCCCCTGTGTAAAAAGGGTAGCACAAATTCGTACCTAATGAGAGCAGAGGATGTTGCCTGTTATAATCCTGCTCGAACATCTGTGCTGCCACTGGACATACAGCCTTCAGTGTCATGGGCCAGGCCCATCACAGAGGAAGCCTCATCTCAAGAGCACTAGGATGACCTGATTCTGTATGGCCTTCCAAAGAAGATGGGACATTTCTGTCCTGTGCAGGAGATCACCCGAGAGCTTTAACCCAGGAGGTCACACTGTGCCTTGTTTGGGTTTTTCTCTAGCTGTGGTGCACATTTCATGACAAGCCTCTAGTGAAGGGAGCCTGCCAGAAGACACTCGCTGACCTGAAACTGGATTACCTGGATCTTTACCTCATCCACTGGCCTCTTGGTTTGAAGGTACAGTAACAGCAATGCCCTTGACTTTTTTCTTGTGACCGCAACTTTGGGGGAGCTATATGGCTTTACAGCCAACAATTACTGTGGCTGATAAAGATGATCATGTGTCTGTTGTGTGTACCAGCACTGCTCTGGTGCTCAGCTTTACTATGGCCATAAAAGCCAAGCTGTGGATCTCTGCCCTGAGACTGTTGCTTGCATATCTCTCTGATTCTGGGAATGATGGTCTGAGGACTAGGAGCAGATCTCATAGCTGCAAGCATAAGATAAGCTGCTTTCCCTTTCTCTTACGAATCAGTGTATACTTATCTCAGAATTGCCCCTTGCAGGAAGGAGGGCTGTACTTTGCTGCCTGTCAGAAATTTTCTGTGTTACAGAATTGTAGAGCAAGAGAAAACATTTGTTTTCCATTTTTCTGTTTTATCACCAAGTCCTTAATACAGCACAGATTGATCTGACCTTGCCTGTAGGAGCCTTAGCATTGTTCCATGGAGACAGGAATTTAAAAGATGAAACTTCTTGGGGGCCTACATTCTTTCACAGATTAGTGAAGGAGCTAATGTCTCTGACTTTCTGGTCTTAGTCTTTCTGTCCTGCTACAGTCTGATCAGTCTCTCTTGAGATGGTTATCTTTATTTCATACTCTAGTCTTATGTTAACAAAGTAATGAAACCATATCACAGTAGCAGTAGCAAACTGCTTTTAAATGTAGTTGAAATTTGGTGTCTTTTCATAACCTGTACACAAAGGCTCTTCTAATTTTCCTAATATTCATATATTTCCCAGTAAATTTCCTACTGTTAGCAGATTTACCCTAAGCTTTGTTGTGGAAGAACTGTCACTGCACATAATACATCTTTTCAACAAATCTGATGGTGTATAGACCAAAGCTACATGTTTTCTCAGTACCTGGCTAGGTCCCCTGATGCCTGTCTGGAAAAAAGAAAAACACTTCTTCCTCACATGAAGTGAACATGTATGAGACTGGAGGCTATAATTCTGTTTTGTTTCCCCGTAGGTATTTGGGTGAGCCATCAGTTTAAGGGGTCCAGCTGGAAAACCTGTCTTTATTGGAATAGTCACGGGCAAAAATAACTTCCTCCTGGTCCTCAAGGAATGACTGAGAGTAGACAATAATTAGGGTTCTTTCATGCACTAGAAGTTTAAGCTGTCATGATTATGAGCCTTCACGGTAGTAAGTGAACTTCTCAACAGATTCTCAAGCTTTTTTTTTTGTTACTGACAGGCAGGAGAGGAGCTGCTTCCCACAGATGACAAAGGCATGTCTATACCCAGCAACACAGATATTCTACAGACATGGGAGGTAAGTTCAGCTGCAGTAGAAGAGTTGTCTTCTCTCCTCAGCAGTGATTTTGGCTTCAGCAATCACAGAACAGTTTTTGAATATATGCAGAACTAGTTGAAAAGGATTCACAAAAGGATGTGGTAGCATTTTAAAAATGGACATGCTTAGTCAAGCTGTTATTTCTTTTCACTGTGGATTCATATCTCTAGTCACTGAGCTGCACAGTCATTTTCAGTGGAGCTGCAGGCCAAACTGAGCCTAGCAAAAGTTACGTACTTCACCATAACTGAATGATTGGGTTTTCTTTTTCTTCACCACAGTTCTCATGCAGTTCTTGAACTCAAATAGATTTTCTTAGGCTGTGATCCTGCCATCCTGCATAGTCCTCCAGTGCTGTGACAGCAGTAGAGTTAGTCATACGTTCCTTGTGTAACTCTGTGAATTTCAGTCTCATCAATAATTTGGGGCTTTGTGTGATAGAAGACATAGCACAGATACTACCAGTACACACATTTCCCTGTGAGAATCAAAAACCTGGCAAGTCTTAACACTTAGGCTTTACTTCCAGTAAAGAGAAACAAGACCCATCAGGAAAAAATTATTCAGGTCATGTCTTGTACACTGGATGCTGACTTTGTTCCTCTTTCTGTTAGGCCATGGAAGAGCTGGTGGATGCTGGTCTGGTAAAAGCCATTGGAATCTCCAACTTTAACCGTGAGCAGATTGAAAGAATCTTGAACAAGCCAGGGCTGAAATACAAGCCTGCAAATAACCAGGTAAGCTGCAGAGTGACTGCAGGTGAATAGTTTCCAGGGGTTATAAATATCTGGTTACAGTTGAATAAGGAGATTGAAAAGGGAGAACAAAGTAGACGCATCGTGTTTTCTAAATCACGCTCTATGGGTATTTATCAATGCAAAAAGGATAAGAAAAATTCCATTTTGTCTTGGCTTGTCGAACCACTCTCTTTCTGGAGTATTTTCCCATGAAGCATTCTCTCTGGAGGGATAGAGTCCAGACACAAGTTAACATTCTGACTGTAATCAATAATTTCTATAAAGCCTCTCAGAACAAAATCAAAAAGTCTCATAAGGATTCAACATTAAAGTTGATGCCCTATAGAGTTATAGTCTTGTCTCACAGACCACATGCATGGTAGGATGAAAGCAGCCTGTAATTAGGAAATTAGGATTCAGAAAGAAACCCTCTGGAGCATTGGAATGCTACAGTAATTCTACAGCTGTCAGTCTCTGCTCCTGTGTTGACAGATTGAAAGTCATCCATACCTTTCCCAGGAGAAACTTATCAACTATTGCCAATCCAAAGGGATCACTGTGACAGCATACTGTCCCCTTGGACGCCCTGACAGGTAATTTCAAAGTGGATTAGTGTGGTTTAAGTTTAAATATTCAGAGTAATTGAGTGAGTAATGGTGCAGGCATGTATATACTTTAATTATTCATGCTAGGGAGAGTCTTTCTGCAGTGATTCTTTGTTTCTTCCGTTTTTTTCCCTGTGTAGGGATAAGCCAGAGAACACTTCCCTTTTGGATGACCCCAAGATCAAAGAAATTGCAGCCAAACACAACAAAACCCCAGCACAGGTGGGTAGGTGCTGGACAGTAGGTACTCCTTCCAGTAACACAGTCATTAAGGAAAGTGTATGAAGAGAGAGAACAGCCTCTATCAGTGTTCCATGTGAACTGTGGTGCTCTCTTGTGTTAACAAGCAATGCAGTAGCCTATTCTATGTCCTAAAAAATCTCTACTACTGTCTCTTTGGCCCTTAGCCAGGAAAGTCCTCTTGCAGAGAATGAACACCTTGCATAGACTGCTAAAAGCCCAGGGGGGAAGAAAAGGAATTTACTGTCCCAAAACTGGATGGCAAAGGCAGCCTTCCATGTGGGCCTCCACCACTTTTGTCTTTACTCTCCAGGAAGTGCTACCTAGGCCACTGGGACAGCCATGATTTGAAATACAGCTATGCAGAAGTGGGCATAACTTAGGGAAAACAGCTGAGTTTTCAAACACTTGGAACAGTCTCTGATTCCTCCAGAACAGGAACCGTTCTCTCTCTGAGTGGTCTGGTTTTGCAGGTTCTCCTTCGCTTCCAGATCCAGAGAAATGTGATTGTGGTTCCCAAGTCTGTCACACCACAGCGCATTGTGGAGAACTTCAAGGTGAGTGTTAAGAGACCCGGGTGCTGCCCTTCATGGATGGCATGGGTTCTTCCTGTACAGCAATCAGTGATCCTTTCTCACCCTTCCCAAGCTGGCCTCAGGCAGGAGGACTGGACTTTTTCTCTCTGTCTGGAAGCTAGGGTTACAATGAAAACTACAGCTGGAGAAATGATAGAGCACTTGGAAACAGTATGTTGATAACCTTATCAACAGTATGTTGATAACCTTATCAGCCTTACTGTCTCCTGTGACTTGTGGATGAAATGGCAGGCAGTGCTTGTTTGGAGCCCAAGTGCAGTAACGTTTCTCAAAATACAGACTAAGCAATGTTAAGGGAAGGGTCCTGGTGTCAATAAAACACATTGCCCCTTTGACTGTTATGCCAGGTTTTTTCCTGACATGAAGATTTCAGAAGTAGCATAGCTGGATTTACTGAAATATGGAAGTCTTCCAGATGTTTCTTTGAAACTGGGGAGAAATGAGTCTGCTACTAATAGAGGCAACACCAAGGTGCTTACCAAACATCTTGGAACAGCTAGCACATGTAACTGCAACTAGAAGTCTCTTTATTTCTCTTTGCCAGTGGAGTCTCAAAAAGTCTAAAGGTACAACGTTTTCCTTTTCCTGCCTCATGAAGCCATCATTTCTAAACAGCACCCCTTCTGATGTCACTTGTTCTTTAATCTTGTGAAGCTTGCCTCATTTGTTCAAAGAGGTGACTTCCAGGTGTTCCACTTCTTAGGTGTTTGACTTTGAATTGACTAAAGAGGAGATGGCAACCCTCCTCAGCCTAAACAGGAACTGGAGGATCTGTGAAATGAACATGTAAGTGACACAGCTTGTTTCTTTCACGCTCTTATATTTTGAATAATCTTTACTCTGATCTCACAGGTACAGGTATAGCTGTTTAAATTGGGTATATTTTGAAATCTGGAATCATTTGGAGGATTGAGAATCAGTTATTTAACCCTTGGTGGCTTTATATTTTTCCCTTTATTGGCTAAAGGATAAGGCATACTATGTATTAATTGTAATTCTTTCTCCAGGAAACATTGTGCCTGGAATTCCCAAAGGAGGGTTCTAGTTGATAATTTGAGATTTTCTGTACTGGGGAAATGAGCTTTAGCCAGTTTTAAACTTACAGTCATTTTTTTTGTGTGCATATTGTAAACTGATGTCAGCTCTTATATAGGTGGTTGGGGGAGGTAATGACCATCTATAGTGCAGTATGAAGAACAACTGCTTGCAGATAGCACCTTGGAAGCCTATAGCAAGACAAGAAGTCTTGGCTGAAAAGCCACAGAAATGGCTGTTTACCCTGTAAGCAGTGTGAACTTTTTATCTAGACAGTAATTTGGTCCCAGCACTGTTCAGTGCCTGAATAATAGGAACAGACTTGAACTTATTAGTCATGTATGCCATCTCCTTAAGTTCATTCTGCAGTTACATAATTCAGAGCCTCCCTTGAAGGCTCTGAAGTACAGAAGTACACCCACTTTAGCTCTATAGCATTTATTTCAGCCTTGAGAGTAATCATTTCTCTTTGATTTCCTTCAGGTGCAAAAATCACAAGGAGTACCCTTTCAATGCAGAATACTGAAGACAGTTTTATCCTGCCTTCCTGGAGGCCTCTGCGGTCTAATGAGCATGTACTGCTGCCTTGAGTTGTCCACTATGTAGCTTACACACTGTATCTCTCCTGCCAGCAAAGGCATATTGTGTGTATTCGGTGACATGAGGTTTTTCTTCTTTGGTAGAAGGAAATGGTAAAATTGTTCTCAAGAACAAAATATGGGCTATAATAATTCCCTCATCAATAGATAGATTAGTCTCTGCATGGCTGAAATAGCAAAGCAGAAAACCTGAAGAATGAACTAGCAACTGAATAATTTTTCTTGTCTTGGATCACCTCCACTTAAGGCTGCAGGGTAAGGACGTGAGCACAGAAGAAATACCCATCCTGAAAGAATTAACTACACAATCACTGCCTGAAGATAAAAGACAACAATTAACTTGACTTCTAGAGCACAGCCCCAAGCTTTCTGGGAAAGAATAGTAATTGGGAGAGATTGCCATACCTACAGATGCATAACAACTCATACTGGGCATTGTTTCTGTCACATTCTTTTACAGACTGAATCTGAACAGAGATTAGTGTTCAACTTTATTCTTATATATTCTTCCAAAATAAAAAATACTTAGATTACTGCTGGTTTGGATGTTCTATTCTAACGTGAAAAAATGCCAAAGCCATTTGGATCAACACTGTCACTGGAAAAAATGATCCATATTCAATTTTAAATGATGTCTCAGGAGCATCAAGATCGTGTCTTGATCAAAAGTTTAATAACTTGATGTAATAAATTTTGGTTGATAGAGTGGTGCTGCCATGAACAGTTGAGTATGACAAGCCTTGGTATGGGCAGTGGATCAGCAATGACCAGGAGACCTACACCTGAAACTGCTGGAAAACTGTACAAGGATATATACTGCTGTAGACTAATTTGGTTGATAGCCTGTGCTGACATCTGGCTATTAAAAACCCAGAGTAACAGAGAGTGGGGTAAGAGAGAAGATGGTGTTAAGCAGGTGTCTGATACTGCATGGAAGCAGAGGGTGTAAGGTGGAACTGTTAAGTGTAAATACTGGGCTGCTATGCAGAGCCTGACATTGAAGCAACTGTGTTGTTCCCTCTGGCTATGCTTTGCTGACTCACTAGCCTGGTGACTGCAACAGGTCTCTTGTTAACTCTATCTACCAGTAACGCTTTTCTCTGACGTAAGCCTATTCCTCTTGGTGGAGGATGCAGGTGAGCAGTGCTAGAAGGTGTTTCAACAGCGTGGCACTTCAGGGATCCATAAGTGCAGTCAGTGTGTCTTGGACTAGTGAACACAGGCTATCTGGAGTACAACTGTTGCATTCATCAACACCAGAACAAGCTGCAGGATCTGACAAAAGCATATGAAGTCTGAGATGTATCTTGCGCAACTGGGTGGTCTGGAAACTTCCTTGAGAACAAGGTTATTAACAAAAATCTGCTTTTGTAAAGGTTGACAGTGTTAGGACCTAGTGCTGACTTACTCCTTTCCCCATATTAATAGTGTAATTCAGTGTGCAACATGTGATACACTTATACGAGCTTGAGCTATTTGTATTATACATGCACCTGTGTTACAAACTAATGATGTACAAAATATGTTTGACAGATGGCAGAAAGGCTCAAACATCAGATGTCACAGGAGCATCAAGATCTTGCCTTGGTCAGGAGTAGACTAGATATAGTGAACCACAGCTGACCAGACAGTGCAAACAAGACATGTTTGAGGAGTCTTGGCACATGTGAGCTATGGATGTGAAAGTGACAGGAGAACAATACCTGGAAGTGCTGGCAAGTGCTATATGAGGAAACTTGGACTGATTTGGCTGTCAGCCTGTGCTGACATCTAGCTTTATAAACCCCAATAAAGCAGACTATGGGGAAACATCACTATGCAGATACCCAAAATGCACTGGACATGAGGTGTAATAGCATGTGTTAGTGCTGAGCCACTGCCCAGAGCTTGGCACTACAACAGGTCAGCACTGAGTGTTGTATTTTCACCATGTGAAACCACACTGACTCACTGCCGTAGTAGATGAGGGACACATATTACACTTTGTGAATGCTTCCAGATATTGTTCTCTGTAACAGGAGAACAATCCATCTTTCATATCCATAGCTCATATGTACCAAGACTCTTTCTGTGTATATATACACTCTCCCTGACAGGCTACCCCAAGATTGGTTCATTTGGTTAATTCAGCTTAGCAGTATCACATTGCCTGGTGTTTCATTACCCCATCGTAAGTGCAAAAAGAACTTAGCCTTTTTGTGTGATTAAAAAGAAAAGCTTTTGGTTTGAGGGCTGAGCGAAACTTGCACTTTGGGCTTAAGCATGATGGTTATGACAGAGACAGGACAATGGACCTCAGATACATTACAGCTTTATGTTTTGTTAGCACTTACTCTCTTTCATTCCAACAGAAAAAAAACAACCCTACAATGTGCAAATATTCATCTCAGTACACTAATACTCAGATCACGTAAGATCACATAAGATATTCCAAAATAGACACATACAGAATACATCTAATATGCTTTTCAGATGGAGGTCATCCAACTATTTCCAATCAAAACTTCCAAAAGAATGTATAATGCAACTGCAAGATAAGGCAAAAAACCATGGAAGAAGTATTAGAGCAGAAATCTTACTGCTAATTAGTACTTACAGTCAAACAAAAGAATCAGAATTTACAGGGGGCAGTACTTCCCGCTTTGTTTTTGGTGTGTTTGCGAGCTACTGATAGGGCGGGGGGACTAACATATTTCCACATTTGAAAGGCTCTGTGCTGACCATACTTGTCTTTTACTCCTGGGTCAGATGCAGCAGTCTTTCTGGGGGAATTCACCTCATCTAACTTTAGGTGTCCACAGCATGTGGCACCCCAGGGCCAACATCTAAGCTCCACTCATATCTGAGATGTTTGAGCAAAACAAGGCAGCAGCATTCAGTATGATTCATTATGCCTGGGTCCAGGACTGCTCTTAGCTCTGACCCATCTTGCTACTTAGGCTCTCCAGACCTCATGCACTTTCTCCCTCGCCTGTGAACACAGGTGAAGTCAGCTGTAATCACCTGCATTTAATGGACGTGAACCCTTCCTGGGACAATTCCCACCAATAAAATCATGCAGTGCTTTTCTCTACTGGTAGCAGGGGCAACCACCCTTAGAGGAGCCTTGAACTTCTCTGTCATTACAGTCCAGGAGCAAACCAGGCAGCCTTCCTACTGGTAAAGACTGTTTCACTGGGACCTACCCACTTTCATCATTTTGAGTCTGGTTCTTCTCAGATGCCAAATAGTGCTCATCTCTTGAGGCTATGATTTTTGCTGAATTAGAATTATTACGTGCAAATGTCAATACAACAAAACTGAAAAGAACTACAGTAAGTATCCAGCTTTAGTGCAAACCTTCACACACAGTCAAATCAGGCCATTCTGCACATATAGTTCCTCATCTCCTGCAAGGAACTCTTGGGCATTTTGCAGTATTTCCCAGCCTATTTCTCATCCACTGACACGTGGTGTTTCTTTCCCGAAGGTCCTACCCTCATTTGACAACCCCAGCTACGCCTTCAGAACAGAGAAACAACTGACACCTCCTGTGTCTTGGCATGATCCAGGAAAAGTGTCACACCAACAGGCAGAAACAGCAAAGCAAAATACAGACCTTCTGCCCAGAGAAGACCCCTGGTCTTGACCCATCTTCTGATGCTGTCATGCTTCAGTCTTGCCATCCCAAGTCCACTTGAAGAGAATAAAACCTTGATAAAAAGTCCAGGTGGGAAGGAAAAAAATCCTGGTGTCCATAATACATGTTGCTCCATTGTTAATTCTGTTGTCCTTGACTGAAACTGGTCATCAGGATTTTGAAAGTCTTAGCTGAATTAAGTGAAATATAAAAGTCTTGTAGATGTTCCCTAAGAACAGGCCGAATAGATGCGCCTTTCACAAGCAGTAGAGATAATGCTAATCGCTCACCAAGCGTCCTGCAGTGGCTGGCATGTGAATTGCAACTTTGAATAGTCATTCCCTCTGCCAGTGAATTCTTGGAAATAGAGATGGCTTTCCCTCCTTCATGAAGCAGTAATTTCTAACCAGCTCCTCTGCCTTGTAGACTTGCTCTTTAATTTTGTGGACTTTGCTTTCAGTCTCTGGTTTGTTCAAAGAGGTGATTTCCAGCTGTTTCCCTTGTTAGGTGCTTGAGTTCAAATTGACTAAAGAGGATATGGCAACTATTTTCAGCTTTAACAGAAACAAGAGCTCCTGTGCAATGAGCATGAAAGTGACAGCATTCAATTCACTTTTTTCCCAAACCCTTAAGTTATGAATACTATATATACAGAGGTTTTGCATCTAAATATTGTCTAGAATGCTGAGAGCCTGAAAAATGTCTGAAATTAAGTCATTTGATCCCTTAAATTATGAAACTCACAAAGAACACCTAAGTCACAGACAGCTGCTAAAATCTCTCTGCTGCGGAATCTCCCCTAACTTTAGTACTCTCCCCAAGGCCAACATCTAAGCTCTAGTCACAGCCAAGGGAGATTTGGGCTGAACAAAGACAGCAGGCTTCAGCAGACCCACTACACCCATGGTGGAGCCTGCTCTTGGTTCAGACCCAGCTTGCTCGTTTTAGTCTCGACCTCATGCACCGTCTGTCCTGTGACAACAGAGGACAGATGCTCCACAGGACAACGCAGCCACCAGGCACTTTCCCCCGCGGGCAGCAGAGGGCAGCCAGCCCTCAGAGAAGAGAAGACCCGCGTTGCCACCAGCCCTCAGCCCCCCAGCCGGGGGGCATTTCAGATGCCACACAACCTGGGTATCTGCTCCCCTGTCAGGGGAGGCTCTGACCCTCGGTGCTGGGCCCAAACCGCCCTGCCAGCTTCCTTTAGCAACACCAGGTGAAATGAGGAGGTGTTTGCTTCCATGGCTGTGTCACCCGTCTGTTCCTTCCTACTGGGCAAGGGACCAAACTCATAAAGTGGCACACTGGGTTTCATGGGTAAATAGTAAAACCTTTGTTCAATAAAAGAGGCATCTTAGCACCTTCTTTCTGAAAATTTCACTTTCAATTAATGAACACGTAACACAAGAACTTAGGTTTTGCAGCTTCCTGAAAGAAGCAATCCATGAAACCCTCAGTGATCAACTGAGGCTGAGGCAGCACAGCTCTGCTGAGACCGAATACACATTTTTATTGAATCATAAAGGTGCCATGTTTGCTATGGTGCAGGAAGAGCCAAAGGTTTAGACCACTGTCCTTTCCCTTCTCTAGCATGGGTCACCCAGTGCCCACAGTGCCTTCAGGCGGTTTCCTTGCTCCAGCATAGCTCATCCTCCAGCTGCACTCCCCTCTTCATCATGGACCTCCTTCCAACAGTGTGCCAGAGCCAGGGCACCATGGGCTTAAATTCTTGCAATTTCAGAGGCAGCTGGAATTGGTTCTGTCTGGCACTGAGCAGTTCATGGTCTACAGACAGGTTACTACCACCACTCTCTGATACCCACTGCAATTTATGCCCTTTGCATTCCACCCTTCACCACACTGAAAAATAAATTAAGAATTGTTTCACCGTTATATAAAAGCTACCTTTAACGTCATCACAATCTTAATGTATATTCATTATAGACTCAGTCCCTTGTCCCTGCAGACCAGTTAACATCTCACCAATGTGAACATAACCCACATCATAAACCCACTCCTTCCCAGCAGACAGAATTATCAGGATCAACACTGCAACATTCTCAACGTGCTTTCCAATCCCTTTTAAAACTTTTTCCAAGGTTAACCATACTACTGGACTCCCAGCATTATCCTTGGCCATGCTGCCAATCTCCTGCCTCTCTTGTGGCATGCTCCCTCCAGTACAATACATGTAAGTCACTCCTTGACGTCCCACCAGTTTATCAGGCAATACCAGAGGGACAGCAGTAACTTTGCTCACACCTTGGAGCTTTCAGTCATGGCATCAGTGATCACCACTTTTTCATTCCTTCCCCCTTGCCTGTAAACACAATCCAGCAGTCCAAGTAATTTTAATCAGTTACCTCCTTCTTCCCAGACCCTCTGTGGGGGTGTCTCATCTGTGGGATGCAGCCCTCCACCTCCACAGGTCTACTTAAGTTAAGTAGACAGGTCTACTTAACTGCAACTCAGGCTGCCTGGAAGGGCTTTGTTTTTACTTTGCCGTCAGTCCTCAGTTTCTTCCCAGACATGCCAGGGTGTCCCTCTGAGCCAATCCCTTTAAGACCACTTGCTGCTCCTACAACTGCAGCCTGGCCTGCCTGGCACATAGCTTTCCACCTGGCCGATTCAGCACTATTGCTCACTTCTGACCAAAGGCTTCCCCTTCACCCTGAGCACTTGTTATGCACATTACTCCAACAAAGGTCGATAGGATGACTCCCCTGCTCTGCTAAGCAACCATGGTCTCTCTGAAGCCCCATTTGAAGCACCCATCAAGCTCAGCACACAGCCACACCACAGCAGCACACCCTTCCTCCCTGTTTCACAGCCAACCCCTCTGCAGCTCCCCAGCCAGTGCTTTTGGATCCTACATGTGGAGGCAGCGCTATACCAGGCCACTGGTGCACCAACTTGGAGGAAGCACCTCTCTCTCTTCCCAATCACCTTCCCACTCAGCAATGGCTTCCCCAGGTCCCTTCTTTCTCCAGCTATTTATGCACCGTATGCACTCACCCCTGGACACACACAGGCTGTGCCACTTCCACCATAATGTATTCCCAGGATCAGGATCATGGCTTCTTTTGGAGTCCTTCTCATTACTCCAGTTCTGTGCCGTGAAACGGCTGGGTGTCACACACAGTCTCCAACAGCTACAGTCCCAAGCAAAACAGTCTCATCTGAGGGCAATCTAAGCTGATTCATCTCCCATTAACACAGACTTCATTTCATCAATTCAGGTAGAGGAGGAAAGAAAGAACACAGAAGAACAAAACAGTAAATGCCTTTCTTCCCCTTTCCCAGCCCCTGTCTAAGCCAAACACTAGTCCCTGCCCTGTCCTCATCTCTGCTTCCCTCATTTTCACCACACATGACAGCTAGTCCATTCCAATCCCTCCCCTGAGACAAGGGTGGCTCAGAGGGGCCTGCTTATTGTGACTTAGTGCTCGCAGGTGGGCAGGCTGCTGTCCCCAGGGCTTCCCAGTGCCCTCACATCAGAACACTGGCTTAAGCTATGCCTGCATGTGTCAGTAACCTCAAAGCTGCACACCCCAGCAGCTCTCCCCCTTATGAGTCAAAATGATTGCACCTTGCAACTGTCACCTCCTTACTTTACCTTTGTGCTATTCTTGCAGGCCACAGGGTCTCTGCTGGTAAGGACTGCCTCTACAGGGACATACCCTTGGGCCCTGCTCTTCTCAGATACCAAACACTGCCCCTCTCCAAAGTCACAACTTGTGATGAACCTAGTTACTAAATGCCAAGGCAGCAAAACAAATTAAAACCCCATGAAACTACACATCCTGTTCCAGCACAAACCCCTGCATGTGGATCAAGGGCGGGGGGGGGGGGGAAGCCCTCCTCCCACAGACAGTTCCTCATCACCAGTATTCACTATAAAGAAACAGCTGGCCGTGCCATGAAGGACACAGTGCACAGGATTTATCACGCTGTCTGTCATCTGCTGACACACACAGCACTACTTCTTCCCCCAAGGCCCTGCTGCCATTTGGTGGCCCCCGCCTAGCCTTCAGGAGGGATAGAGTGGAAAGCCAATTCGCCTTAGAGCTGCAAGGGGAAAGCCTCCCAGTCATGGGAGTGAACAGCAAAATCAAAATACAGAACTTTGGCCTCAAGCCTCTTGTGACAAGATGGAGACATCTCTCACCAAAAAGCAAACACCAGGGAAAACCAAACCCAAATGGTCAGAGGTAAGCGCAGAGTTACATAAGGGTTTCATGATCCATGCAAAAACACATTGCATCCTGCCACGGACGGCTGATGGTGCTGACACAAACCAGCAGGAACATTAAAGAGGCAAACCAATTATCTTGCCTGCCCTTAGTTAAATGGAGCAAAAAATACCGAGCTGCAGCAGGCAGGGGCCTCTGCTGTGAGAGAGGCACTCAGAGCAAATGCTCACACCTGAGGAAGCTCTCCATGTCTCAGTAAGCAGCAAACCCTCCTGGGCAGGCCTGGGTTTTTCCACTGTGCTGCAACCTCTCCTGCAGAACAGTGTACCTTTGTCTGCACCCTTTCTGATGTGAGATTGCTAGCCACCTACCACCTACGATTACAGTCCTGCATTTTACTCTGTAATGCCCTCAGCACTGCCCTGAAGGTGGAGGAACAAGTTGATCATTATGTCACTCATTAAGAAGTCACTGTTTCTCTACTGAGACTTTCAAAACACTTTATTTTGAATGTTGGGAGAGGGTTTTTTAAAGTTCTTTTTAAACTCACTTTATCCTAAGTTACTGCTAAGCACAGCTCAGTGTACCTTCAAGTGGAAGCTGCATTTGTCCCATGTGGAGAACAGGTTCTCTCCACTCCCAAAGATGAGGTTTCTCATCTCACAGTACCAGCACACTGGGTCCCCGGGCTCCAACAAGGGAGACCAGCCAAAGCCACCATCCCTGCCCTGGGGACATGCGGCTCGGGCAAAGGCCTGACGCCCACAGCCCGCAAACTAAGCGCACAGGGGGACATCTCTGTCTCCCATCCCTGTCCCGGGGACACGGAGGGACCGAGGTGCTGCGGCAGGGCCACCAGCCGGGAGCAAAGATACAACCCAGCCCCAGTTTAAGCCCTATCTGACACAACCCGAGTGACGCTTATCCCAGGACCAGGGCTTGCAGAGGCGGCCTCCTCCAACCCGAGCCCCCGCCGTGGGCTGCACAAGGTCAAGGCCAGGGCTGCACAGCTGTGCTGCGGGGTACAGCATCGGCACCGCCCCGCCATCTCCTTTCGCCGCCGCGCCTCGGGGCGGGGCGGGCCTGGCCGCTATTAAAGGCCCTGCGCCAAGATCTGCCGTGGTGGTGGTGTTGAGTGCGTGTGGGGCTATGGCGACGTATGTGCAGCTGAACACCGGGGCCAAGATGCCCATCCTGGGGCTGGGCACATGGAAGGTAACGGGGCTCGTCGCCGTGTCCTCCGCTTTCATTGGCGGCGGGAGGGCGGATGTGCTCGGCCCGGCCCGGCCCGGCCCGGCCCGGCCCGGCCCTGGCATTAGCCATTACCGCCCGTGCGGGACGGGCGCCCTTTCCCTAGCACCGCACTGGGAGGGATGGAGGGCGGCTGGGGGCGGCTCGGGCCCTGCGGGCGCGGTCTTGACCGCCGGTGTCGGTGCTCGACCGGAGTTAAGGCCCGTCCCCGCCGCCACCCCGGGCCCAGGCGCAGTGCTGCCTGTGCCACCGGCATCCCGGGCTGGGGTAGAGGAGAGCCTTGCGGCGTGTGGCATCGAGAGTCCCGCCCTGCTCGCTAATCCCTCGCAGCAGCCTGAGCGCCCGCACCGCTGCAGGGCTCTGGCTCCGAATGTGGGTTGCTAAGGCCCCTCCGGCTGGCGGGGGCTTCTCCTCTTAGAAGTGGTATGGGGAAGTGAGGAGGCCTCGGCCTGGCTGTGAAGAGCTGTCCTTGAAGAAATGAGGTGTTGGGGCCTCAGCTCGGCAAAGCTGTTGGGCTGAGCACTGCCTGGTGGTGGGGTGCAGGGGGGCATTTGAAGGCTGGTTTAAACTCTTCTTGGGGTTTTTATCTTATTTAGTTGGAGGATTGCTTTCGATGAGCTGGATTTCTTAATTTTGTCTTGCTAGGAAAATGATTTTCAACATGTATTGATAAGAATTTCTTGGGTATTTTATGTTCAGTCCCCACCAGGAAAAGTAACAGCTGCAGTGATGGCTGCTGTTGATGCTGGGTACCGCCACTTTGACTGTGCCTATGTGTACCAGAATGAGAATGAAGTTGGGGAAGGGATCCAGCAAAAAATCAAGGAAGGTGTTGTGAAACGAGAAGACCTCTTTGTTGTCAGTAAGGTATGGATCCCAGGAGACACCTGTGTTTTTCATAGTAACACACACACACACCCCCCCCCCCCCCCCCAGTTCTTTACTTTCCCATTCTGTGGTGCTTCATAGAACAGTTCGGAACATCACTTAAGACATTCCTGAGACAAGCTTCCTACTTTGCCTCCTCATGTAATGGAGAATTATGCAGGGTATATACCACAGATAGAGGTGATGCTTTAAACCTTTCCTAGCATGAAGTTATGCTCTCCTCTTTCATGCAGTATCTGGCCTTCTAGCAGGTGTTTCTTAAATGGAGTCTTAATGAAATGAGACTACTTCTGCTGTCTGCCACTGCACCATTCAGTCATGTGTGCTGCCACTGCACATGTTTCCCCCAGTATTACAGGCCAGTCCTGCTCACAGGACTAGCAGAGCAAGCTTTGCTGGAAGATCAGTAGGATACTTAGTTCTAGATCACCTTCCAAAGGGGACAGATGCTCTCTTCTGAACAGAAGAGTACCAAGGGGTTTAACTCAGAAGATCATGGTGTGCTTCTTGTCTCTAGCTGTGGTGCACATTCCATGACAAGCCTCTGGTGAAGGGAGCCTGCCAGAAGACTCTTGCCGCACTGCGGCTGGATTACCTGGATCTCTACCTCATCCACTGGCCTCTTGGTTTTAAGGTACAGTAATAGCCATGCCTTTGGCTTTGTCTGTTGTGACTGGCAGTTTTGAAAAGCTTTGTGGCTTTACAGCCGAGTAGTTGCTTCAATTGACACAAATTTTCTTGTGTCTGTTGTATTACCAGCACTGTTCTGATGCTCAGCTTTGGTCTGGCCATGACAGCTAGGCTGTTGATATCTACCCCTAGTGGCATGGCATCCTCAGCCCTTTTGATCATGGAAAAGGCAGACTTTGAATAAAGGCTGGCCTCACTGCTTCAAGCATAAGTTATGTTGTTGTCCTTTTGATTATTGCCGATGTGTTTTCTCCTACAAATCCAAAGTATGCTTACCTGATGATGCTGTTCCTCCTTTGTGGGAAGGAGAGCTGTGCTTTGCTGCTTGACAAATTTTCCTCTGCATGTTACAGAATCACAGAACCCAAGAATGTTTCTGTCTTCCATTTCTGTCTTTAATCACTTGAGTCCTTTAATACAGTACAGACTGAACTGACCTTTGCTGTAGGAGCGTTAGTGTTCCACAGACCTTGGATAAAAGGTGAAGCTTTTTAGTTCCTAATTCTTCTACTCACTGCATGCAAAGGAACTGATGTCTCAATTTTAATATTTCTAAGCTTAGTCTTTGTGTTATGAATAAAGGTTTTGATCAGGGTCCACTTCTTGTTTCTGAGCTCGGCCGTTACCCATAGCATCTGTATTTTTGAGATTAGTTTCATACGGACAGAACTATCAAAGGGAAAAGGCTTTGTGGTGTAGAAAACAACTGGCTTTGAATGAAGCTGATACTTGGCACATAGTTCTAACTGGAACACGGGCTGTTTTAACATTCCCTGTGCCAGCAGCTTAAACAAAGAGTTTCCCCACGAAAGATCTGTCAGCATATCTAGTACAGTATAGCCGGAATATATTCCAGGTCCTAAGTGGGTCCTTAGTACATGTTTTAGTAAAGCATTTCATTATGTTCATATAAGAACTGTGTATTTTTATAATATAGAAAGTAAACTTGTAAACTGGATACAATCCTACAAGTGAAGGGTTCTGTGTCACCATATGTATTTTGATGAACCAGAGGACACTGTCCAGTGGAAGCACATGTCCACACTGGAATGTGTGTTGGTGAAAATGCTATAATCCCATGTGAAGGCAAGACAAAAGACTGAAGAATGTAGATAATCAGTATTAGTATTATCTAATACGTATGTACATACTCTTATGTTGTGCAGTAGGAGTTTGTAGGATCCTGGTTTCCAGCTGGTATTAACCTCACTTCCCACCAAAGTGTTTCAAGCATTTTTTTTGTCACTGACAGGCAGGGGAGGAGCTGTTTCCCACAGATGACAAAGGCATGTCTATACCCAGCAACACAGATATTCTACAGACATGGGAGGTAAGTTTAGCCCCCAGCAGGGGAATCATGTCTTCTGTTTTCAGCTGTCTTTTCCACATTTTCATTTCCACATTACCTTCAGTAGCCTAAATTCTCATGTATGTAGAATTACCTGGAAGGACTCGCTGATATGATAGCGGATTGTTTGATATCATTATTTTCCAGTGTATTTTGCTGTGAATTTTCTCTGTTTCAAAGGATCAATCTCTGAGCTTTGGGGAAATGGGAGACAGGACATGACACAAATACTAATGCTGCTGTTTGGGTTTGTTGAGTTTTTTTTGCCTCAGACTTGAACTCTGAAAATCTAATAGCTTATTTTGTGCTTCTCGTGAAAGAAAATAAGCCATGTCAGTAAGAATGTGCTTTTCAGGCCTTGTCATATACTAGATTCTGACTTCTTTCTGTTAGGCCATGGAAGAGCTGGTGGATGCTGGTCTGGTAAAAGCCATTGGAATCTCCAACTTTAACCATGAGCAGATAGAAAGAATCTTGAACAAGCCAGGACTGAAATACAAGCCTGCAAATAACCAGGTAAGCTGCAACATGACAGCAGGCAAATGTTTGGCTGGTGGTGTGTTTTTGTGTTTTTTTTTTGTTTTTGTTTTTGGTGGCTTCTGTGGTTTGGTTTGGTTGGGTGGGGTTTTTTTGGGTTTTGGTGGTTTGTTTTGGTCTGGTTTGCAGTGTTGTTTTTGTTTTTTGGTTTTTTTTTCCTCCAAGATTTTTGAAGATATTACTATGAAATAAGGTTCTAGAAAGAGAATGAAGTACACAGTTTATTCTCTCAATTCCACCCTTTAACTGCATTTGGATGCACAAGGTGCTGTAATTTTATGGTCTTCCTGCACTACTGCTTGGAAATCTGGCAAGGAGCAGCTCCAGACCCTCTTTTTTTCTTCTATAGGGGGTTGGGGAGAGGAGTGGGGAGATGATGAGGACAGTGGGAACTCGGATAAGCTTTATAAACTTCATTGGAGTAAACCTTGGTATATGTACTGAGGATCAAACAAAAAACTGGATACCTTGAGTGTATGGGTAAGGGAGGTAGTTGTCTTATATGCAGTCTCAGCCTCTCTTGTTTCAACTTATGCTTGTTGTCTCTTGTCCTCCCCCTACGTGCCACTGAAGAGCTTGGCTTGCCTTTGGATTACCTTTTTCTAGGTACTGAAAAGCTGTTACTAGGAGATCTGAAGTATTCCTTTCTCCAAGCTGAACAAACCCAACTCCCTCAGCCTTTCCCAGTACAGCAGGCTTTCCAGCCCCCAGGTGTCCTCATAGCCCTCTGCTGAATTCATGATAGTCTGTCAATATTTCTTCTGCTGACAGGGCTAGGAAGGGGGAAAGCCAGTCACAGTGTTATGGAGGTCTGACAAGTGCTGAGTAGAGGATTTGATCACATCCCAAAACCTACTGGCAGTGTTTCTGCTGCCAGGGCTCACCACTGGCTCACATTTAGTTCTGTCTACTATGGCATTTATAGCACTGTTCTGCAGGTTGTCAGGCTCCAGCTTGTGTTATTGGCAGGGCCTTTTTCTTCCTGGGTGCAGGGCTTTGTATTCAGTGTTGTTGAATTTCATAAGGTTTTTGTTGGCCTCTTCTTGCCTGAGTGGGTCCACCTGAAGTGGAAGCCTTGCTCTTAAGTGTATTGAGTGGTCCTTCCCCAATCGGTCATCACCTGCAAACTTGACAAAACTGTAGCCTGGTGCAAGTTTTTAAAGAGAGTAGGACCTAGGATAGTCCCCTGTGAAGGACAGGGACCAAAGACCCATTGCTCTGAGCTTGTCTAGGTTTGCCCTTGATTGCTATGGCCTTTGAAGGGCTGCAGTCTCAGTTACTGATAATTTGAGGATACATAGTATGTTTATGGTTTAATTTATTGTGGTAGACTGGGCATATGTACTGAAAAGGGATTTTAATACCCTTTTTTCAGAAAGCAAATAGGATTTCTCTCTGGCAGTCTATCCAACATAACTGAAACACTGACAAGTACAAAATTCATAATTCTTTACTGTGTATTTTCATTATCTGTCTCAATGTACTTTTAGGATACTTACTAAAAGTCTTTACCTTTCAACATGTGCCACACTTCGTTGTCTCCATCACTGTAGTTGATCGTTAACCTTGTCTTTTGCATAGAGGACAGCAATTTGCACTGTCACACTTGTATGTGTTCTCAAGCTTTCCAAGTTAAGCTCAGAGCAATGGGTCTTTGGTCCCTGTCCTTCAAAAACTATTGCTTCCTCAGAAATGCTTGCAAGCATGAAAGCTTGTCTGTGATCAGTGGTGTTCTAGTGATAGTGCTTCCTGCAAACCCTTTCTGTGCAGATGCTTCACATAAAATACGGTAATTCCCCTGTATTTGGTGTTCATTCCCATTCTTAATTTAAATCCAATGTGTGGATTGGTCTCATTTGTGGTGAGGAAATAATTTGTCAAGGTAGTAATGATGTTATAATGATATTAGTACTTAGTTCAGTAGATCTTTAAATACTTGATCATCATGACACAGCGTGGATTGCAATAGCTTAAAATACTTGCTGAAGTACCTTAAGGTATCATAGGCTTTTCATCCTGGTCCAAACATAAGACTAAATAATGTAGCCCAGAAGTTTTGAATTTGAGTGTCAGTGGACAGGTAAGAATGACTTTGCCTTATTGTATGAATTCTACCTATTGAATAGTTGAGAAGATAACCCTGTGCTCTGTTACTCTTGCGTAGCTGTGTTTCTTGAGCTGCTGAAGTGAAATATGTATAATCTGCCTGAAAAACTGAGGTGTATCCTGTTGTCTAATATTCCAACATGCCCCAGAAGGGAAACGGCCATGCAGGCTTCTGATAACAACATACAGTTAGACCCACAAATAAAGCCCACGAGGCTGTAAACTGATCCCATGCTCTGTGCTGTTGCTTCACCTGCCAGTAGCATAAGTTTACAGGGACTTCCTCCAAATGCAGCAGCAGGCTGCTGAAGGCTCGCATGACAGTTCAAAGTTCTTGATGTTGCCTGTTGAAAGTAAAGTAGTGCTTCCTGGTGTGGAACTATCCTGAAAGTACCTCTGTGCTTTAAAGTATCAAATATTCATGTTCGTTCACTGCCTCCTGACACATGAATAATTCCTGTTCTGTACTGTGTATTTGTGCATTAGCTTGCCAGACTACAAATCTACTGTTAAGGAGTCTGTATTCTGTTAGGTAGTCCTATGGAAATTCATGGTAACTACACATGCTTGTAAGAAGTCAGTAATGGATAGTAAGCTGAAAGTCTAAAATCCAACAGATTTGTATTTGCAAGCTGGAGGTATTCAGTGTAAGTATTGACACAAAGCAAATAAAACCAAATGAAACAATAAAAAAGTTATAGCATGTTTATAGCATGGGGATGAAAAGAGACTTTACTTATTGCTTTGGTATCCTTTTGGTAAGAGTTTTACAGTTCTCGTGTATGTGTTTTACTGAACCATCCCATTTAAGCAATTAGGTAGCTGGTCGTTCCATGTGTTAGAGATAACATGGATCAGCAAAGTTTTAAGGAGTGGCGTTACAGTCCTTGGGATTCCTCACTGCAAGGAGAAATACTATAAATGCTAGAAAGGGGATGGCGCCATAAAAAAACCCAAGGGAGTGTAATATCTCACAGAGACTCTAAGCTAGAATAGGATCAGCCTTTGATTAAAAACTAATCCCTGGAGCATAGTAAAGCCATTAAATTGTTGTCAATCTTTATACTCTTATGCTGGCAGGTTGAATGCCATCCATACCTCACCCAGGAGAAACTGATCAAGTACTGTCAATCCAAAGGGATTACTGTGACAGCATACAGTCCTCTTGGTTCTCCTGACAGACCATGGTAAGATTGCTTTGCACTTTGCAAGGCAGCTAGCATGAATTTATGCTTCAAACTTTTGAGACTGCAAGTGCACCACTAATTATTCATCCTGATACAGATCTCTGTTAGGTTGGCTCTGTGGAGGTTTCTTGCTGCTGATCATCTTTTCTCTATGTAGGGCTAAGCCAGAGGACCCTTCCCTTCTGGATGACCCTAAGATTAAAGAGATTGCAGCCAAGCACAATAAGACCCCGGCACAGGTATGTAGGAGCTGAACAGTGGGTACCCTTTCCTGTAACACAGCATAAAGGACACCTAATGACAATGTAGAGGACAGGCTGGCTCTTCATTCCCTGTCAACTGTGATGCTCTTTTGTGCTGTTAAGTAATAATGCAGGTTTGTTTATGATGTGGCCTAGAATGCATGCTTCTGAGGGCTCTTTGACTGTCAATAAGAAATACTTTCTGGCATCTTCAGATGCTGTCATGTTTCAGTCTTTCCATCTCAAGTCCTGTTGCAGAGACATGAACTTGTATAGCCTACTAAAAGTATAGGTGGGAAGGGAAGAAGGGGAAATGAGTATCACTAACCTGTATGGGAAACGAGCAAGAAGGCTGCTTAGGTAGGTCTCCAGCACTTCTCTATTTGCACTTCAAAAAGTGCTGCATAGAGTTTTGGTGCGATGTGAAATGCAGCTCTGCAAAAGTGGGTTAATTTTGCTGAGTTGTACAGTTTATGGTGTTGGAACCGTTGGAACAGGCTCTGCTTGCTGTTGAACAAAAGCCATCCTCTCTCTGACTCAGGGATATGCCTCTTGCAGGTTCTCATTCGGTTCCATATCCAGAGAAATGTGATTGTGATTCCCAAGTCTGTCACTCCACAGCGCATTGTGGAGAACTTCAAGGTGAGTAATTAGGAGTGGCCTGGATGCATGGCATGTTCAGGGATGGCATACTTTCCCACTGCAGAGCAAGCAATGATCCTTTCTCATTCTTCTGAAGTTCTTTTCAGGCAAGAGGATTTAGCTTTTTCTCTCTGTATGCTTACCTATTGCCTACTGAGGGCTGAACTTAAGGTTACAGTTGGAGAGCAGAGCAAACAAAGCTTTGGAAATACTACTCTGGTAATCTTAGCAGTCATGTTATTTGATGCTTCCTGTTTTATGTCATGTGGATGACTCATCTGACAGAGCTTGCTTTGAGGCCAGAGTGCAGTAGCCCAAAACAAAAGGCTTATGTAGAGCAAGCACTGTTAAGAAAATAGTCCTGGTGTCTGTAAACCATGCTGCTGCTCTTGATTCAGTGGTCCTTTACTGAAATCATTGTTAGCATGTAGAAAGAATCTTAGTTGCATTAGGTAGAGTATGAAAGTCTTGTAGATGTTCCTTTGGAATAGGACAGAAAGATCTATCTTTCACAAACAGACGATGGAAGCATTCTGCAGCACAAAGTGCTATCCCAACTTCTTAAAACAAATGGTATGTGTAACTGCAGGTTGAAATTTGTTTTTAATTCCTCCCTCTCCCTGCTCACCTCCCCCCCCAACACTCCAGCTAGTGAAGTCTCAGAAATCCAGAGAGCTGTCTTGCCTTTCCTTCCTTCATGAAGCAGTCATTTCTTCTAACAAGCACCCCTGTACTGTGGACTTGTTCTTTAACTTTGTGTGATTTTTGTTGGTTTGCTTTTGCTTACAGTCTCTCATTTGTTCAAAGAGGTGATTCCCATCTGTTTCCCTTGTTAGGTGTTTGACTTTGAACTGACTAAAGAGGAGATGGCAACTATTCTCACCTTTAATAGAAACTGGAGAGCCTGTGCAATGAGCACGTAAGTGGCAGTGTTGGGAAGGTTTTAAGCTGAGTATGCCATAGCTCAGTATATGAGGTGGTTGTTATGCCATAGATTAGTATGTGAGGTTATAGGCTTGGTTTAAATTCATGATATGCAAACTCAATTTCCAAAGTGTTCATCCTCAAATAACTTTTCAGAGTGAGATTTTGAATATTTGTGTTATGAACCAAATCATGATGAGCATAAAGCAAACTTCATTTTCAGCTCAGTCTCCAAGGTACTTTTTGTAGCTGGAATTGCAAGAGGAGGCTTCTTACTTAACTTTTTTTATTTTGTTCTTATTGGAGAAATGAATGTGATGCAGACTCAGATTCTGTATTAACTTTGCTTATGGCATTTCATCTTTCTGTCATGACCCTTAGGTATGTTATAAAAAACCACTGTAGGTTATTCAGCAGTGGCTGGGAAAGAGGGTGAACATTAAAAAAATTAGCATAAGGATTTGCAGCTTGGAAGCCAGATACGAAATCCTTATTGGAAGGTTGCAAAAAGAGTCTACCTGGCAGTAAACATTAGTTGAATTAGTTGCCTACAAAGCATCTAGGTTGTATCTCCCAAAATGCTCAGAATTCAAACAGAAGGCATTCAAGAATCTTTGTTTACAAATGCAGTGCATCACCAAAGAAAATGGAAACAAACTGGTGCTGTTTTTATAGAAGTCAGCCCTTCCTTGGTGGTTACAGCTGCATATAGTATCTCTCAGACACGAGATAATCTTCTGTCTTTTACTTCCTTTAGGTGCATGAATCATAAGGACTACCCTTTCAATGCAGAATACTGAAGATGGTTTCCTGCCTTTCTCCAGACTTGCCAGATATGCTTCTGCTGTTGCCTGAGTTGTCTACATAGCTTTCTTACTGCATCAGGCCCTCCTTTTTCCTTTCTTTTCCCCCCCCACAAAGATGCAGTATATGTACTCAGTGGCTTTGTGTTGCTTTCTTTTTTGGAAGAAGGAAATGCTAAAATGGTTCTGGAGAGCACACTGTGTGGACTTGTAGATTGTCTTTGCCAAACTGCATGTCTGGAATTGGTAAGCAGAAAACATTGAGGAAGTCTGGACAAGCAGTCACTTTTATTTTGGAATACTGTGAACTGGAGCTAGTTTGGCTATCCTTGTCTGGAAGGACCAGGATATTGGCAGATATTACATAATTAATGAGGTCTGCTCTTTTCTGATTACTTTCGGGTTTGCTTCTGTTTCTTTTTGTAATGCTCCAGTCTTTTTTTTTTTTTCTCCTATTGGAAGTACAAGTTGATTTCCAAGTAGAGCAGTTTCTACATTTGTAGTTCCTTGAAAAGTGCATAGTCCTTGTTTCTTGGTGATTAAAAAAGCTGGTTTTGCTTATAATAAAATAGTTTCATTACTGTGTGTAATGAGATAGTTATTTCAGTATTTTTAGTTGTTTCAGTGCTTTAATGGTAGTAATGCTGGAGTAGTATTATATCATCTGTATCTAGAGATTACACAAAAGCAAGGAAAATTGCTGTCCCCCAAGAACTCATCTGCTATCAATGTTAACTTCATATGTATGACCTACTAGCTATCTGCTGTTTTAATGCTAGTGCATGTGGAACACCTGAGTGTGATGAACCTGTGGCTACTGGTGTGTCTGCTTGAGCCTTTCTCTAAATAGAGCTGTTCTGTGACAGTTGATATGCCTAACATCAGTGATATACTAATGTTTAAATTGGTCTTTATTTTACTGAAGTGATAGTATACTTTGGCTACTAGAAAACTCATTCCACTGAGACATGGAGCCTATGCACCATCTTATGGTATTGTTTTAGTAAGCAGTAGAAAACTTGCCCTTCCAGTTAGGCAGCACATGATGCAGGAAATAATTCTGTTCTTGTACAAGCTACATTGGCAAATACAGTAAAAATGGGTTTCCAAGAAAAAGCCTGTGTCATGAGCTAGCAGATCAGAAACTTACTATGCTCTTGGAGGACAGAAAAACAGGCTTATACTGAAATTTTGACACGAAGCATGTTTGTCTCTTGGTTTTTTTTTTATGGTTTTAACAGTATTTGCAGGTAATGGTTTTAAAGTCATCGCCTGCTGAAAGCTGCTTAAGACTTCACAGAATACATTTGGGCACATGTAAAAACAGCAGCTACTGTTGGGTGATTTATTTTTTTCCTTGCATGTTGTTGTCATTTTTTTCCAAGGTCTCAGTAGATCTGGAGTGTGAGCTGTCTTCTCAAGGGGGCTGCGTAGGCCTGGCAGAAAGGAGGTTCTTTTTGAGCAGATGAAAGAAGGGAGATGCCAGAACTGTTAATACAAAACCACCCCTAAATGGTAAATGTAAGCTAAGATTCTGATTCCATAACTGCACAGTGTACTTTAAAGATAACTTGGCTGGGTTAAATTATGCCATGAATGCAGTTGTTCTCAGACTATTTGCGAAGTAGGTGGCTTGTTTCCTGGTACTGATAAAAAGGTACCAAGGAGTCACGCTGATTTTTATTTTTTTTTTCCCCTGTCATTTCTGATAAACCCTAAGTATTGTATTGAAAAAAAAACAGGGTTTGTTTGGGTTTTTTTATGTTCAAATGCTTCTTTTAAATCTCTCTACCATCTCTTTACATGTAATGGGTTTGGTCAGCATAATTTAAAATAAGCTGAACAGACAACATTGAGTTAACTTTTACAGGGCAAGGCAGAGGAAGGAGAGGATAAATATCCGACTCCAAGCAACAGTCTCCTTTAATACTGATTCTCCTAACATAAATTGGTTATAATCATTTTAAATTCTGGGCTTAAAAGCAAATACAAGAAGCTTCAGCTCTGCAAGGGTTTCTGTAATGTGATAAACAAAAGCCCAAAGGCATTTAAAAAGACAGAACAGGTAATATTCTTAGATTAGTCTGAGCTGTGACAGAAAACTAGGGTGATGTTGACTTGCCCCAAAATAACATTTTTTGTGACAAGTGTGTTCTACCAAAAAGTTACATTGAAGGTCAGGGTTTCCAGAATGGTGCATCAGGTTCTCTTCATTTCCTCTGTCTTCCTTTCACTGTAACTTTATGAAAGTTTATGCCTGAAATTTTCCATTCCCAGAGTAGGAATTTTACTGGAGAAGACTTTCAGACAGGCTGCTCCACAGCAGAAAGAAGACTAGCTAGTGCTCTGGGTGGAGTGGTATTGTAACAAGCGCTCTCTGTATTTTGCTGGATGACTTCAGGGAAAAGTATTTGGAAAGGGTCGTTCTGGGACACAGTGCAGTGCTTAACCAACAGAGGGCTTGGATACTTTGTGGGATACAGCAGCGTGAATAGAGGAGAAACACAGCCACCTGAGCAAAGGGACAGTGATGCATAAGCTCGAAGAGAAAGCAGGCTGTTGTCAGGAAGGATGAGCAGGATAGAAAACCCTGACACCCATAACAATTTTGGATTGCTTCTTCAAGGCCAGGTATAATTAAGACTGAGATGAAGAACCAGTCTTGAACACTGCAGCCAAGCCTTCATTTAATCTAGTTTGATGTGGGGGTTGTTACAGTAAAATAAGTGGCTGCTGTACCCCCATACTTGTGCCACACTCTCTGCCTACAAGGGTAGAGATTTCCTTCAGTTTCCTAAAAGGTAAAGTGGAAAGATCAAAGAATTAGATATCCGGAGCCCAGCATTCCTGCTAACTGTGCTCTTCCTGCTCTAACTATTCACAGCATTTGTTTTTGTATTGTGATTTGACGGATCTCTCGGTTTCTGATCAAAGAACTTTTAAGGACAAATACAGTCTTGTAGCTCTTCCAATGAAAAGTGGTTGTTTTGTGTTTTAAGAATTGTAGTTCAGCTCCACCTTGTTGGTCTCTCTTACAAGACTTTCTCAGGACTCTGATGCAGGAGTTCAGCTAGTGTGATACTCTAGCACACCCTAGGAAAAGGAGTACAGCCTATGGGAGAGATTAAGAGCAGGAGATGGAAAAATCATGTTCCTGAGACCACTAGAATGGGTACTTGTGCTCAAAGTTTGTTTCATTTCCAGCAGCACTCACTGCGTCAGATGATACCAGGTTAGCAGGTCTTCCTGCTATTATAAGAAAATAGCTCTGCCAGAATAGGTTCATTTCCATAGCAGCAAAGAATGATGGTGAACCGATTTACCAGGAAAAATAGAGAAAATTGGTTGTTATTTGAGATAGTAAGATACCTTTTTTGAGATTTGGGGAGGGGGGGTGTGTGTGGAGTAGTAGAGGAATATGCAAGAAGCAGCTGGAATTGGTACCGTGCTGTTGGTAGGACACCACAAGTAGTCCTACAGGCACAGTATTTTTCAGGTTGCAACTGATAATTCTTTAGGAGGAAATGGCTTGACTTCTGATACTGAAACATCAATAACCAGCTTGCCTGGCTGGAATAACTTTCTATATGATGCTCTGTAACCTTTTCTTGAAGGAGGAGGAGGCAGGGTCTCTTTTTGCTGAGCTCCCAAGACTAGCAGAAACACATGCTGTAACATTTGATCAGAGTTGTGAAATCTGGGGCATAAGAAACTACATTATTCAAAACAGGATTTGGGGTTTTGATCTGCAGCCACTATGATGAAGATATGACTAGAGATGTGGAGTCTCTTGCTTAATTGGGGCACAGAACAGCTGACTCAGGACAAATAACTTCCTTTTTAATCACTTAAGACTCCCCTAGTTTGTAATCTATAAACTCTGTTAGTAACTATTTGTCATCCCTCTCTCTGCCTTGTCCTTGGTCACTTAAAATCTAGAGCCCTGCCTTACTCTGGTAAGACCTTGCTCATTTAAGCTGAGTGGCAACTCTTAACTCTTTCACAGGCCATGCTACTCTTGCATCTTAATTTGTTGAAGGGCATTGTACAGTTATCCACAGAGCTAAATCTGTTTTCCAAGTTCTTAAGAAGAAAAGCTGAATATACAATTTCTCTTCTTCTGAAATTAAATAAGCCTGATTAAAGGATAGCTGCTCATAAGCACAGCCGAACTGAATCGGGCTAAATACTGCCTACTGCAGCATCCTGTCTGCAGGTGTAGCCAGAACAAGTTGAAGATGAGTAATTTGAGCATTGCAATGGTGTGTTCTTTATTCTGACAGCAGTTTAAGGTCTTTTGTTTAACAGTCAGTTTAACAGTTAACTCTTTCTTGTTCAATTACCTTGTGAATCTGCCACATTCCAAAGGAATGATTTTTCATACCCACACATCTTATGAAGAGTTGCTATGTGCTGCTTTTTGTGCATGTCTGCCGCTAGTTTTTATAGCGGAGGAGACGGCAACTAGTCTATTTCCAGCCATACTTTCCAAGCTGCTTTAGATTTGGCAAACTTTGGCATAGCTCTCTGCTGTCATGTCAAATAAAGTCATAGGCTGCTTAATTGCCAGCTGTATAAATTATTCCTAGGTCATTGATTATCCTAGGCAGTCTTCTGTAAATCTTTTTTTTTAAGGTACAGTGGAAGGCAAGGATTTTTTTTTTGTGGGATTGAATGCAAAAAGTTCATAGAATGGGTCTCTTGCTTTACTGTTTTTCTTGTTTCTCATTCTGCTTGCTTTTGAATGATACTGAGCTCAATATGAGAGCTTGGAATTATAATAGATGGAAAAGCTGAGCAGCAAAGAGTTTCGAACTTGTTGTTCATTAACTATGTTTTTATGTTTTCCCTCTAAAACATGGACTTCTTTTTTCCACTAAGTCCCTTTGGAACTTTTCATGAAGGCTTTACTGTGACAGAATGGATGAACTGTGCAATAAAAGCTCAAGTTGTGGGTCAACATGTTGTGATACAAAGACAAAATGCTAAGATAAGGTGTTTTCCATTTACTGGGTTCAGTCCAGTGGCACAGACAGTCTCACTGCTGACTAGGAAAGATGTCTGTGGGTTTGGTCTAAAAGCACTGCTCCATAGCTGATGGATACTGAAAACTATGTGGACAGTACTGGTGTCTTGCTGTAGTTCTGACAGAAAGCTAATGATTTTGCTGCTGAGGAAGTAGACACACAGGAATAGAAACTGCTTAGTCCTTCAAGAAACTCCGTTCCATACAGCTGATCATGGTGACTTGAGCCTGTTTATGCTATATCTGACACTGGGAGGATATTATGTTCTTTTCCTGGAGCCTTTTTTTTTTTTTGGTGTAGCATGGCATTCTCTCTCCTGGCTTTCAGAGATGGCCTCTGTATTTTCAGGTCTGTAAAAGGGTATATAAAGTGGCCCCTTCCACATCTGCTCCTTGTGTTTAGACACTGATGCAGCTGGAGATTAGTAACTAATTAATGCTTCATGGGCCACTGAAAAGTATGCGGAGACAAACTGTCACTGCATGTGCCTAGATAGCAGCATGGACTTGAATTAGTTATAACCACAAAAGAGGGAGTGGGTTAAAGGTATACTTGCTTATTAATCGCAAGGGTCAAATTAATCTGAAGACAGAGACTAGCAAGTTTCTAGCACTTGTCAATGTGTGGTAATACCTCTGCTGCAAGTCCCTGCACTGACAGAACAAAACTCTTCAGGAGACTGTTGTAGCTTGTTGCTTCCTCCCTTCTGCAGCAGTGATCTGACCAACAAAACACTTGCTCCTCTTCGCAATAGCAGAAAAACATGCCCAAGTCTCTACCCTAGCCTGTGATAGCAAATTTTATTTCCTTAACAATTAGCTTCTATGTAAAGCAAAGTCTAAACTCACTAAAAACACAAGAGGCTGGAAAATTTCTGGAATACTCAAAACTGAATCAAGGGAGATCATGCTTTGTCGTTTCCTCTCTGCAGATAGCAGATGCAATTACAGCACAGGAATGCTGGGGCAGGTGTAAGGCACAAAATCAGACTCTACAACTCAGAGTTATACATCAGGTGTGTTTATTACAGCACTGGGTGCAAGGGGGGATTGCTCTTCCTAACTTGCACACCGAGTGATTAAGCAAGCAGATAGTTATTATGCACAAACATGCATATTCATTAGATTCCTGAGAGTTCTGTAGGGATATTATAATTTGTTTAGGTACTTATCATCATAAGTCTCCTCCCTTTTGGTGCTTGTGCACTGCTCTCTGATGGTCGTGGGCAGGGGTCTTCAACATCAAGTAAGCAGTCTTCCTCAGGATGCACTTTTCACCTTTGGCACAGTTGGATGCTCCAGTAATCACAAATTAGCTGAAACCAACTGTATCTGCAAGTTCCTGATAGCTGGCGAAGATTTAGGACAGTGTAACCTTCATACAAAATTAATTGCAAGCAGAACAGGATGGGCAGACAAGGAGTATCCCAAGCTGGCAGATGTTTGGGAGTCACTGTCTCCAAATTAACTGATAATTAGAAGGCTGGTAAGAAATAATTCACTCTTTAGAAGGATGGAAAATAATTCACTCTTGTTAGTAAGACTACTAAATTCTGTTATCACACCACAGGCTTACAACACAAATATTATTCTCTATCTCAGACGCAAGTTAAGTTAAAAGTATTTTAACCCTATGTTTTCCAGGCACTTGCTTTTCTTATATCAGGTGAAGCTAGAAAGTGTGCTGCTTGAGCAACTTATAGCAGCCTATGATGGCAGTAAGCCTGCTGCTGTGGTTGCTGTGAGGCAACAATGATCTGCTGGAAAGGGACATTAAGGCATACGGCTGCATCTCCACTGCAGAAGAGAAGGTACTTTATTTCCCTGTAACTGACATCACCCAAGTTTCTCTCCTTTTACCTTTGCTAAAGTCTCTGCAGCTGAAAAGATCTATTGTCTCTAAAACAAATGCACAGTCTCTGGCTTCTAACTTGTTTTGAATTTTTTGCTATTATATGACTACTGTGATCATCTAGTCTGACTTCCTGCCTGCCACGGTCTATAAACATCCTGTAAATAACTTCAGGTCTGATAGATGTGATTAAATTGGAATGTTGTTAGAAAATTCCTATGAAGTAGAGAATATGTCAAGATGGGCTGTATGCCACAGCCTGAAGTGTGTACTGCTCCTGCTGCAGTAGATTGACAACCTGACTGCAGTCTGGATGCCTGGAGGCGGAGTACCTTCCACATAGCTCCTTGTCTGACTGCAACTATGATAATATCCTGTGACTGACCTTTTGAATTTGAACTGAATTTGAACTTAGGGGAGAATGAAAGAGAGTACTTATTACAGACACCTTCCTGTCCATCCCACTGTATTATAACTGTTTGGTGACAATTGTTGCTACCCTTTTCAGACCTCTTTCTATTGAAGGGTTGTTGTAGGAAATACAATTTGATGAAATGGCTGTTTCTAGGGCATATGTTATTCAAACATCTTGCGAAGGTCTAAAGTAGCCCAAAGCTATGTCATCACTTCCTTTATTGACTACAAAGAAAATCAGTTGGGAAAGGATATCCATCAAGTGTGTATCTGAGCCCTGAACCTAAATTACACAATTATCCTTCCTCTCTGCAGGCAGTGCTGATCTACACTGTTGTCCTGCTGGCCTGGAAGAGCGTAGAGCAATCACAGGCATTTTGAGTCACTTGTTAGAGTTCAAAAGCAAGAAATCTTGATTAACACACACCTCATTAAAACTCCAGCAGATGTATGGGTTGCAGTAGCACTGACTTTTTTTTTTTTACCATAGAAAGCAACATCCAGTGACATCCTTTTAGTCAAAGCACAAGCAGACAGTATTTAGGGAGCAGCACAAGAGAGCAAACATCTACTTTTGGCTTCTAAGAAGTTGCCCAACTTCTCTGCTTGTTAAATAAGACAGTTGCCAAACAAAATAATTCCTCTGTTTCTACTTTATCAGACTTTAGATTTGCTGGGAGCGATTCACAGTTTTAACTGCAGCTATTCTACTGATGAAAAGCAGTATTTATATACTTTTGTAGATATGATAAACCAAACATACAAATCTCCTACCAGTTTATTAGTTTTTAGCAGTTCATAAATAGGAAACATCATTAAGAAAACGTTCCTGAAATATAATTCAGTGGTGTCCTCTAAAGAGCTTTTAGTCTGTTATACTGGGATTACTGAACTAAGACTCTAAAGCTGTGTATTGTGTTATCAAGACCTTCCGATGTTAAATGGATTGTCTTACGTTAACAGCTTAAAGGTATCATGTTGTGAACTTTTGTCCACAAATACAGCCACAAGGAGAATCTAAATTTCTCTAAAATTGGTCAGGATTTTTATTTATGACAAAAGCTGCTTTTCACAAATCCCAAACACTCAGGTTTATTAAACTTCTTCAACTGTTATTACTAAATGATAAGAGAACATACATTTTGCTAAAACTGAGAATTTCACTACAAGAGCAGAGCAAAAAATACAGATAAAGAATGATATAACTGTAGTGGACAATAAGGGAAGCAAACACATGCATGTTCAAAGATTACTTTTCATAGTGCCTGTGTTATCTTCTCCTATCTTGTAATGCATATTCCACTTATATTGTGGTTTAATACACATGAAATATTACAAATTGCTTGAAATAATGATATATGGTCCTGTCCCTGGAGGATCTGATGGTGGTGCCTATGTTACTCTCCCAAAAAAGGATAGTCCTTGTGATTTTTGCATCTAGAAAAAGAAAGTATGATTAAAACATTTCAGGACTAAGATGAAAAAGCTTTTCCCCCTGACAGAAACTCTTCAGAACTAAAACTGTGAGCTACAGCAAAAACACTAATGTGGGTTTGCTTAATTTACACGGAGCAGTGGAAATTAATGCTCTGCAGCCTTCACATATACCAGTGACCTTGTTCTCAAAAGGCACTGTATCTTTTGCTTAGCTGAAATTGCCAAACTTGTCTGCAACATGAAACCACTCTCTTGTTAACTCCTAGATCTGCAGTATGCTATTAGGTAAGTGGGTAACCTGTGAAAACAGAATGAATTGCAGATCTTGGTAAGTCTGTATCTAACAGCTGTATTATCTAGATGCTGCTTTAATAATGTTGGCATAAATACATAGGCACAGCTTTTCACTTCAAAAAAACTTAAAACTCTCATTCTTAAAAAGTTTATTTACAGTGACTGTCTCTTATATGAAGTAGCCAAAGAAAACAGAGGAGGCAGGGGTGGAAGGCTGCCTATTTATTTTGGAGTTCCCTGCTGATTTTGATTTTCAGACAGCAGTTTAGTATGCATCTGTTACAAGATGTCTTAACACACAATGTCCCTGCAAAAATCTAGTGCTACCAACCTGCACAAGACAGGCAGTGCTCTAATATACCCTAGTGTTGGATTCCGACACATAGGGATGTGACTGGATATTGGCTACAGTTCCTTCTCTTTTAAAGTGGGGCTTTCAAATGCTGTCTGTTAAAAGGATATCCAGTAACAATCTAATCTTGATAAAACATGAAGGAGGAGGTACTCACTCATTTAAAGTACAAATGCGATACTGCTTCTTGAAAGCCAGTAAGGTTCCCATCTCCTCTTCAGCCAATTCAAAGTCAAACACCTGAATAAAGTTCCAAACCAGCTGAGTTACTTCAGTTTGCAAGAAGAGAAGTTGCAAAAACACCAAAAACAGAAGTAGCAAATTGCTGTATTTGTTGGAGTCCAAGGAACTGTGCCAGAAGATGCATTATTGTGGTGAGCAATGAGTGAATGCCATAAAGTTACAGTGCTGGTGGGGTCTAATTGCATCATATTTGTATCACAAGAGGGAAAAGTTAATCTCTGTCAATGTATTCTAGTGAAGGAGACATGGCTCCTTACTTCTAAAGTAATGCTTTGCATTCATAAAGTGACCTACAGTATCTGTCGGATGGAAGACTACTAGCTCCAGCTATGAAGGGAGTACTTTGTCCCACTGGCAGAGTGGATTTTTTTTCTGTGTAAAGTTTGACACCATTGATAATCTCATAAGGTACCCTCTTACCTTAAAATTTTCTTCAATGCGGTGTGGAGTGACAGATTTGGGAATTACACTCACATTTCTTTGAATCTGGAGGCGGATAAGCACCTGCAGAAGCAGATAGGGAATTACAGTGGACAAGCTCTGCCTGTCTTCTGAAAGCCAAAGCCCGTAAATGGCTACACAGTTAAACAGATCAGTTCTGCTAATTATCAAAGATGGTTCACAGAGAAAAAGCAGTGTAGTAAACCTTCCCCAGTTACTACCTGAGCTCATTTAATCGTTATCTGTCTCTTGAGATGACAGCATGGGAGTGCATTGAACAAGAGTTCAGGATCAGTCAGGGATGCTGCACATAGAGGTGGCTAGTGTGCTATTTAAAGCCCAAAGGCATTGGTAATCTTCTGTCCATCTTTAAAACTTGGCTTAGAGGTAGTATTTTTTTTTTTTAAAGCATTACAATGTGTGTGGGACACAGCTGGAACTCAGCTTTCCGTAATACCTCTGTAAATAGCTACTTTAGCACAAGTCATAAAAACACCCATTGCCAGGGAAAATACTATGAGTGGTATTAACCTGAGCTGGGGTTTTGTTGTACTTGAGTGCAATTTCCTTAATTTGGGGATCATCAAAAAGGGAAATATCCTCAGGCTTGGACCTGTGAAAATAAAAAGCAGATTTAAGCAGTTGAATGGTCCACTGTTTCTCCCTCAGGCACTGTAGTGTAAAAATACCATTTAAATAATAAGCAGGCATAATCTCATGCACTTTGATTCACTATATTCTTTTTGCTCCTGTCCCTGCCTTTGTTCTTTCCCTTTCATTGCCATTTGGCATGAGAAGAGGCCTGTAGCTTCTAGTGTAACAGGTCACTGTAATACATTTCAGTCCAGCCTGGGATGAGGCTGGAAATTTCTTTGGTCCAGATCCCAAAAATTTCATCTTGAGAATGGGCAGCTGTCGTGTCCTTCACAAGCACAGCTGCTCTGGTAAACATCCTGTCCCAGCCATGAAGTCTTAAGTAAAAGCAAAATCTCTTCAAGTCATCCTTTCAAAAACCTAATCCATTCATCTCAGCAGGACTGCAAAGCTGCTGTTCTCATAAGCATTTGCTGCTTTGCTTTGGGGGTGTTTTAGTTCAGAAGTTCTCTCACATGTTTAATAAGCTCACCCAAGCTCAGTTTAGAATTATCTTTGCTACTTTCACCAACCAACTGATCCTTTTTCTCCTAAATATGAAACTCCAGTAACAGCACAGGTACGAGTTAGCAAACTGAATATCACAGTAAGTGTGAGAGATTTCTCTGCATGTGTGTAATTTTTAAAGAATAAGTAAATCTCCTGCTAACTACATCAGTTTTACCCTGTGAGGGTTTATCCACATCCTAATATTGGTTTACTACATTGGCTTCAATCTATGTCTGAGATAGAAGTTTCACAAAGCATTCTTACCATGGCCAGTTGGGTGCCCCAAGGGGACAATATGCAGTGACAGAGATGCCCTTGGACTGGCAAAACTTGATCAGCTCTTCCTGAGGAAGATAGGGGTGGCTCTCAATCTACAGAAGCAGAAGGTACTTCAATGTGTAACATCAGTATGGTGACCTAACAAACCCCATACCAGCTTTGTAATAGGTTGTTTTTTCTGCAGCTATGAGGTTTTTAAGAGTCAGTGTTTCAGATCGTTTCCCCTTTTTCCCAACCCTGCCTCCAACAATCTTTACATGTTAGTTTCTTTTTCCAGCTGCCTGCCTCGTTTTTCATGACTTCTCACAGTCCCTATACCAATGGGCTTCAAGGACCAGCTGTGCACATCCAGCTGAAGCACCCAACTCTCATGTCACCTAGTCCTACCTATTTACTCCAGCAGCGTAGCCTGGCTCTGATCCTATCTTTTCCCTTGGGGACTGTACAAAGGGAGAAGGGTAAGCCCTGTCACATTCTCCATTGCAGAGCTCAGTTCTCAGCCTGCATTAGCTCAGTGCTGCAGCCAGAAGAAAGGTGAAGGCTGCACTTTCAACCCAGGAGTGCCACAGGCTTGTGTGCCTGCAGCTTCCTACGCAAGGAAGGGCACAGAACGTTCTGCATCTTTCATTGCTTTATCATTTAGCCAAATACAGGTGTATTCCCATGCAGATATGAAAAAGCACAGCCTTAACATAAAAGGTCATTTACTGTTAGTGATGTTCCGTGCTAGGGCACAGAATGTTCTGCATCTTCATTACTTTCTCATTTAGCAAATACGGGGGTATTCCCATGCAGACACAAAAAAGCACAGCCTTAACATAGAAGGTCATTTACTGCTAGTGCTGTCCCATCAAATGCAGCACCCCAGACAGATGTGATATCAGGACTGATGAGTTTGAGAGCAATTTACCTGATTATTTGCAGGTTTGTGTCTTAAGCCGGGTTTGCTCAGAAGCTGATCTATCTGTTTGCAGTTGAAGTTGGAGACTCCAATCGCCTTCACCATTCCTGCATCCACCAGCTCTTCCATAGCCTAGAAACACTACAGAATCAGACTTGCTACTGAATTAAGATTTTAATTTGTTTATGGAAAAAGTGCCTGTGCAAAGACTTCAGTGGTAAAAATCATCATGGCTGGCATCCTCTTCTGATGTGATGTTAGTACAGGACATTGACTGGTGGGACCCTGGTCTAAGACAGCCTCTCACATCATGTATCATCATTCAAATAAACTACAGCATTATTCAAGATTAACAATTACTACACTGTTATTAACTCACGGATACTGAAAAATTATCCCCAGGTAGACCTCCTGCTCCTAAATAAAAGAGGTTTTTCGCTAGGGTAATTCCTCAGCTAACAAAATAATTATCCCCTAACAAAAGGCTTGTCATATGGGACAGAGCGGCTTGACAAGGAGCTGTTCTGGAGGAGCTAGAGCAGGATACCTGCTCATTAATGGTGATTAATTTCCCAAGGGAGATGTACCATTTAGCAGTGGCAGTAGAGCATATGCAGTGCTGTGTTGCACCACCTCCACCTATTTTCTTTCACACTAACAAACAATAAAACAGCTGGACAGCCATAATTAGATTGACACCTCCAGCAGAAAAGAAACAGGAGAAAATCATCTACTACCAGCCTTTAGAGCAAAAGAAACACCTCTTCCAAAGCAAAATTCATGTTTATTTGCAGTTGCTATCATAAGCAGCAGCCTGAAATGTCCTCTTTTTCCTTCAAATGAGCCACAGAAATGAGCCTTGTTCTTCACATGGCAGAAGGAAAAGCACATCAGCAAATTCCTCTGACTCTGGTGAGTCTCTTGTCTTCTTGCAGCCTGGCCATGCTGAGCACACAGTGAGGGGAGAGGGCAAAGGAAGCCCAGACCGTCAGCCAAGCAGAAATTTGAGCTTGCACCCAAGTTTTGTATCCCTGTGCTCCTGCCTGCTCATGTTGCAACGCACACAGCTTTAGAGATGGGCTTTGGGCAAGTTTCAGTACTTTCTAGAGGGGGGAGATTTGGATGTCCTGGCTACATTGACACAGCCACATTGGCTTTCCTGTGGTCTGGACAGCTGAGGTGCAACTGGGGATGAGTGTGGCTACAGCTAAAGCCACCAGTGAATACCCAGAGAGTGGTGTGGGGACTGAAGTGACAGAATATGTCAGCTAAAGCCGCTGCAGGGTACACACACAGTCAAAGGTTTCCTCATGCCATGCCCACCCAGCCAGTTTAGTAAGCAGTAGACATAAAAATACCTCAGTTTTGGCAAAGTAACACAAGAAGGAGCCCAAGGACACAGATAAATCATCAATCTGGAATACTTCACATCAGAAACTTGCTGAGAACAATTCCTGAAGTGGAAACCTTAACTTTTTCACTGTTATTTCAAATTAACAAGGATTTTTTGGCCCGTCAATGAACGTACCTCCCATGTATCCAGAAAATCTGTATCGCTGGGAATGATCATGCCATTTCCATCTGCAGGAAACAGCTCCTCTCCTGCCTGTCATCACAAAAGAAAAGGGAGTTTAAGGTAGGCTGGATTGTAACAGTTAAAGGAGTCTCTTAGAAACGATACAAGTGCGTGGAGCTGGAGGTGCTGGACATCCTGCCTTACGTTTGTGCTGCGGGAGAGAGAGGTGACCAAAACCAGTCATCTGTAGGAACAGAGAAAATCTGCCCCTTGAGAGCCTGCCCTGCAGGCAGAGGAAGGGCAGACACTTGTATGTGCCTCAGTCAGGCTGGGGGAAGGCCAGGGATGTGACACCATGGGGAAACGAGGATTTATTTAACCTGGGGGTAGAGGGAGAAGAGAAAAACAGGAGCTAAGTAATGCACAACTGTTTGATCCTGGATAAGCAAATGGCAGTCCAATCCCAGGCTTTAAGCGGAATGTGACCTGGATGGTAATTGGATCCATGATTTAGAAGTCTCAATACCTTGAATCCCATGGGCCAGTGCATCAGGTAGAGATCCAAATAATCCATTTGGAGGGCAGCAATTGTCTTCTGGCATGCCTCCTTCACCAGGGATCTCTCATGGAAGGTGGACCACAGCTGCGGGGGTAACACAAAGCTTGGGAGCTGCTCTCCTAACCTCACAACCACAGAGCATCCCTAGCAGGGAAACACACAGTGCAGACACAGAGGGAGCTCACGATATGGCACATCTTCTTGCCTTGAGGAAATGCCACTTTTGTGCACCTTATTTAACTGTCCATTAAGTAAAATAAGGATGAGATACTCTAAAATTCCAACGATTCACACAACAATTAAACACAGCAAAGAAAATAAAGCAAAACTGGTGAAAATTGACCTGCCAGCTTCCAGCAGATAGAAGTTACTTTATTTTTCCTACTATTGTTGTGGGGAAAAAACAAAACACAACATAACATACAGGAGCTAACAGGCTGAGGCCGGCAACACAGCGGGAGTGACCACGAATACAATAGCCCTGCTTCCTGTCTCAGAGGCAACTGAGAGCACGGCCTCAGTTCCTGTCTCCATCGCTGACAATGGATATGGACTACAAAAAATCCCTCTCAAATCCAGCCCTTTTTGTTCTTTAGGAGTTGACCTCTTCCTTCCCTCCATCCATAAAACGCTTTGCCCTGAGTTAATTCACAGACCAGTCACATCCCCTGGCACTTTGCAGGTTGGGACCTTGCCTCTCCTCCTGGGAGCTGGCCTCATGTTAGACAGGTTACCCAAGGACCTACCTTACTGACAATAAAGAGGTCTTCTCGCCTCACAACCCCCTCCTTGATTTTTTCCCGTACTGCATCCCCAATCTCACTCTCGTTCTGGTAGAGGTAAGCACAATCAAAGTGGCAGTACCCAACATCGATGGCAAACTTCACTGCATCTCTGGCTGTTCCCTGGAGAGACTGAAACGAGAACAGAAACTGGTAATTTGGCAAACATCAGGAAAAGAAGTTTGCTGCTCTGCAAATCTGGAGACTTTAAGCTCCCAAATAATGAGGTGTTCCAGTCTGGATCTTGCTTTCATTTAGTTTTCTGGAATATAAATGGCCATGGGAGTCACCAATGAGTTGTCTGAGCTGATTGGCCTTTTCTAAGGATTGAACATTCACATTCGGACACCAGACTATCTCAAAAGGAGTTTTAATTCGCCTAATTTCAGTGTGAGATCCTGGCAACATGAGGAAATGAATCAGCTCTGGAGAGGTTGCTGGCCCTGCACACAAACAGCCTGGTTCTTGTTGACACAGGACAGGGAGGTGAGAGGACGACGCCAAAACACTACAGACAGTGCCACCTCCTGGGTGAAATACAGAGCCTGGTATTTAATAGCAAAGGGATCGGTTGAGATCCTTGGCTTGGAGACACTGAGGAGTTGTTTGATGACTGGATGCTGACTCTGGAAAACGACACTTCAAGCAGAAACACGGCTCAAAACCGTGACCACCTCCTACATTTAACCTCATTGCATCCCCACCCATCATCTTCTTTTTAATGACTTCACTTCTCCAAACATTTCCGATGAAGGGCTCTTGGTTGGTTCACCTAAATTTAAAATAACATGGAAACTGCAGCGGTTTTTTCCACACAACCAAGTAGCCGGTGTAAAGTCTTACAAGCTTTCCTTTCTGCAGCCCCTTTCCCCATCCCAACCCTCTCCTATGTACGAATGCTGCAGCCCCTGGGGAAGCAGGCTAATGGGGACACCTGCCAAACGCCAGGCTTTATAGGTTACCTTATCCTTGTGTGCTGCTGCAATGTGGGAAAGCTGCCATGTAGGAGCAGTCAGCATTGCTTTTGGGTGAAGGAGGAATTGTTGGAGAACAAAGGCAACAATAAACCCTGTTTGTCTGTAATGTGGGCTGTCCTTCAGAAAAGATAATCCATTGTGGTGCTCACTGAACAGGACTCCCAAGTCAGCGTGACTGGGTAAAGGAGAAGCCCCATTGCCACACCGAAACACAAGAAGTTGCTGTGGGAACCTTGAGATCAAGTAGCTATGATGAAGTAATCACAGTGGGTTTGGGCTATGTTTTCATTGCTTTAACACAAGAGATTTTTGTGGTGGCAGGGATCATGTGTCCAAAGTTTTCCTTCTGTTTAGTCCTAACCAGTTCCTGTTAGCGTCTCAATAGGCTCCTTCAGGGAGCTCATCCATCACAATGTCCATGCAAGGAACGCTTTGGGTTTTTAGAGCCTACTTAGTTATTGCTGGCTTCTTAGTGTATTTTGTCATCAGACCAATCATGACTGAAAGGGTTAAACAAACTTATCCCCATTTGTACCTAAGGTATATGATGATCAGCAGCAGCTGACCCCAAAGTATAGCAAGAATAATTTAACGTACTTTTACGCTAACTGGACAGTGTTTCATAGGGTTGGCAGCCTGCAATTCAGCATACTCATTTCCAGTCCCAAATCCAGGGGATAATTCACTATTTTTCTTCCTTAAGAAACTCACTTTCTTAAAATTTTCAGCTCATTTCCAGGCTCTTTTTACATTTATAATTCAGTATATACTGAAACCTTCTCCCTTCCCAAAACCCATTAGATAACATTTGCAGGTAAAGAACTAGCCAAACTATTTTCCTGCTGTGTGCTGCATACTCTGCTGCCATACAAATAAATAATCCTCAGTCTTTAGGGAGTTCTTGTAAATCCCCATTTCTAAATCCACTCATTGCCACCTGAGTTCCTATACCTACACATGCTCGTCAAAGCTGACACCTACATGACGTGCTGGGATGTTAACACCCAGAGCCAAAAGCAAAGATAAAAACATGAAGAAAAATAAGCAAGGCAGAAGCAGTAACTTTTGTAATATACATTTTTTTGCCCATAGCTAAGATAAACCTTCTTCCCCTGCTCACTCCCTGCCCACTTAACAAGCTTCTTGAAGGACAGGCGTAAATATCCATGTTACCTGAAGTATTCCAAACAGCAAGAAACACCTCACAGAGGATTTGCTGCCTTGCCCTGATCTGAAGAGGAGATTGCTGAAGAAGTCTACTGTGCTTCTCAGTCTGGTGTTACCTGTGTGACCAGAGGCACGGGGACAAGGAGAGGTCCCCAGCTCCAGTATATACCTGCCAGGTCCCCAGTCCCAGGATGGGCATCCTCGCACGGGTGGGCAGCTCCAGGTAGGTGGCCATGTGCGGTCCCTTCCCAGTCACTGTGGTCAAGGAGAGGCTGCAAGCCCTTGCCAAACACTTTACATAGGCTTTGCCCCTCCCTCCTGCCTGCTGAGTGGCTGCAGACAAGGGAAATAGGCAGAAGTGGTACAATAGGCAAGAGAATGCATGGATTTTGCCTTTATCTCACCCTTTGAAGAATTTAGGAACTGACTGTGGGTTCTTCACATGCGTTTGTTGAGTGCATGGTGCCAGTTACACGTATTGCATTGACCAAGGTTGCAGCTTTTTGCATACCACACAGCCCCTGCTTTTCTGCAAATAAAGTGGTATTTGGGGAGTTTGCACATACCCCAAGAGCTATTTCTCATCTCACGTGTTTGCTCAGTTTTCCCAGAGAAGCTGTGGCTGCCCCATCCCTGGCAGTGTTCAAGGCAGGGTTGGACGGGGCTTGCTCTAGTGGAAGGTGTCCCTGCCCATGGCAGGGGGTTGGAACTGGGTGAGCTTTAAGATCCCTTCCAATCTAAACCTGAATGATTCTGTATTTGCTTCTCTCTATTTTTTCTATGTGTTTCTTGAAGGTGGGGAATATTTGAATCTGAGGAGAAGTGTGCCAGAGATGAAGCAGAGAATGTGTATTGTTATGCTACTGCTCCTTCCCTTAAGGCATAGTAATCCCAAAACAAACAAAAAACGGAAAGGAAGAGTACCCAGGACCTACAATAATCCCTCCACACACCACACACACTCTTGGTTTTATCTGGTTTTCAAAGCTCTTGCTACCGGTGCAAGTGGTTTGAGCACAGTGGCTCAAACACAGGACAACTAATCCCAGCTCCTTTCTATTGCGGTAGCTCTGCATTGGTAGACAGCCCCTGGGTGGGGTGGACTCTGTACTGCGAGAGGTCTCCATGTTATGACTGTGTACCAGCACACTGACACTGATTGCTGTGCACTCAGTTGGAAGTTATCCTTGGGCAGTTTATCCAGGGTGTGGTGAACTTCACTGTGGGCACAGAGGTAGCCAAGGACCCCTCATTGCAGTGGTGTTGGACAAAATGACTTCTGAAGGTCCCTCCGAACCCAAACCATTCTATGTATCTCTGACTTTTTGCAAAAGCAGCTCAGGTCAGGCAGTTTTTAAATCTGTAAGTGATGCAGTTTGCACACCCTCCTGTGGCCCGTCTGGATCTGGAAGCAACGTAAGCTTCCACATAACAGCAAACCTGACAATAAACCCCATGGGTCTCCAGCACGAGGGCAAAGTGCACAGGGAAGGTTTAGCCTCATTTCCTTGGCTGTTGGAGCTAAACATCAGCAGTAGCTCTAGCCTGAACGCTTAATCTGAGCATGTGGCCTGTAGTATCCCACCTGCATTTATGGTGGTTAGGAAAAATAGACCAAGAATAATCCACAAGACTTATTTCCTAGGGAATTTATCCCATACTATTTTATTCAAAAGAAAAACATTGATTACTTTTCATTGAAAAACCAACTGAAGAGATTCTTAAATATATCTCAGTGATTGCTTCCTTGATTGGTGATACACCTGGAAGGTTATGACACATTTGAGGCATTTTTCATAAGCATAGCTTGTTTTTAAGTCTCAAGTTATATCAAACTAGAAATGTCTTGTCAGTCTCTTAACCCATTAGCTTCCTGGAAGTGCGCCATCTTTCAGCTACTTCACAGATGCAAAAGGCTGGATAAAGCGGACAGGAGTTTTTCTTACTCACCTATTGCAAGGTGCTTTAGAAAGAGTCTAACACATTCCCGAAGGCAAATAGGCTAAAAATTCCTCATCCTGGTGACAACAATACACTGGGGCTTTTTTTTTTTTACCAGAATGAGCAGTATAAATACAAAAGCTGAACAGAATAATGGACTTTGCCAGTGCAGTGAAATAAATACCTGCTAGGTCATAAAAATGTCATTTCCAGCTATGCTCCAGGATTTCTCAATTCACCTTCCACATGCCAACAGAAAATGGACAGGATTCGTGAACTTCATCATCAACATAAAATTAGGATATATATAGCAGCTATTATAACTAAATCACTAATTTCAAAATGTGCTCAGTCCCACAAAAATAGCACCCTTGTAAAGATACAGTCAAAGGGTTTCTTAGGCTAGAAAGTCCTTCTAATCTCAAACTACTGAAATCACTGATCCTTTCACAGGCTGTGGTACATCAAGACTTACCATGAATGTTTTAAAAGCATCACATTCCTCCCAGTTGAGTCTTGCGATGAGCTTTTAGAACTCTCTCCTTCTGACTGTCATGTTACCAACCTTCCTTTCCAGCTCTCTTTACATTTCCCCTCCAGCTGTGTGTCTCGTCATGGGAGCACAGGCTGAACCAACAGTGTGGAGTGACAGGGCTCAATGGAAGGTACAAAGATTACTTACTTTTTTTTATATGGAGGCATCTCACTTTTCCTCTTGTCACAGTATTGATTGCATTGTGCAAAATCACTAGCTAGATTCAGGATCTCTGTTGCTCTTAGTATTTTCCTCTATACAGGAAGGAACATACATATAAATGCCTGATAAGCATGCTAAAACAATAATCATCTGCACAAATATGTACAAACTCATCTTGTAAATCAGAACTACTACAAAAGCAGCTGATTTACAAAACACTTCTTTATGCTGACACCAACTTTTAAACACACCTCAGCCCCTGTAGTGATTCATTTTCAGGAAGGTTTGAAGGAGTAAACATCATTCATGCACATGTCCTAAATTTTGGTCCTTGATCCAGCTGTTTCTCAAGACTTTTGGGGTCCCCTGCCCAGCTTGCCAGCATCTAACATGGTATTAAAAGGGCAGAGTAAGTCTCAAGCTCTTATGGTCCTACTGGCTAGCCATGGCCATCGCAGCTTTCCAGTCATACCACATCCCTCAACGGAATATCAGGCAGGCTTTCAGGCCAAATTCTTCCCTTGTACTGGACTCCAGGCATCAGCATTAAAGAAACTGGTAAGTCACAAGAGACAAGGACTAACTTTACTATCTTTTAAGAGGAAATTAATAAATAGAATCATGTAAGTATCAAAAAACATATGAAAGAAAAACTTTCTAGTTGCAACAGTTCTGAGATCCTTTCTCTAGCTAAGTCTCTCTATTAACTTTTCCATAAATAAATGCGAAGGCAGAGGTCACTGACTGACTGCACCATGTCTTTCTTGTGGAACACTTGTGCACGTCCACACTGGCACAGAGGTGCTGATCTCCATGGACAATGCACAACTTCACGAGACATTCTCATACTCCTGGATGAGGCCACTGTGGATGTTTTTTCATGTAAACCAAGAGATAGGCTGTTTCTCCCCTGTGGAAACAAAGAAAAGGCAAAACAAGATGTATGTTTGAAGATTAGGGTTGCAAGTAACCTCCCAGGTTTGGTCCTGCTCAGCTTTTTGAGGTCTGTGTCAACCAAACCAGCCCCCTTCAGTGATCCCTAAGGCATCATATTCACTCACTGGCAGCACTATATAGGAGAGATTCTGCTCTCCTGCATCTCCAGTACATCCCTGGCAATATGCAGTTCAAACCATTTGTCTTCCCTCTCTTTGCTATCCTCATTCCAAACCCCAGAGGAACGTTTGGTAAAAACAGGTATGTTTGCTTACCAGTGGAGGTTGGAATGTCCATAGGTGCATTTCACATCATCCCACGATACCTAGAGAAATAAAACACAAGAGGAGGCTGGTAAAAGCTCTCAAGAGAGGGACACATTGTGATACCAGCACAGCAATTCTTTTAAGAAGAGTGGTATAGGGATACTTCCAGAAACTAAACACCCTTTAATAAATGGGTTTATTGTTTTTACTCCTTGAGGAAAAACAGTTCCTTTCCTTCTTCTGAATACATACGTTAAACAGATCCAGAGTACATAAAGTAGGGTATACAGTGAATGGCTGCTTCTGCACATTGCAAAGCAGAACCCAAGGCCTTGTTTGGTACAGAAGCTACAGCAGCTCTGCCCTCAGCTCAGAGTACATTGCAGCAGAAGAATGAGGTGCACAGAGCTCTGCAGCTTCTGTTTTCTTCCCTGGTTCTCTCTAATGAGCAAATGGAGAGACCGAATGGGATCTCGAGGAGTAACCAGGAAGCTACAAAAGAAATGTGGGTTTGTCTCCTCACCTGGCAAACCTCAGAGTCGTTGAAGCAATACCATTTACATTCTGTGAGACTTCGAATATAGGCACAATAGTGTCCACAGCTAATTGATCCTGAATGGGCAATGACAGCAAAAAGGTCATACTGCCAGCCAGCCTGTGAAGAACCACAAAGAGTGACTTTTAGTCCAGCAATTCTCATTTGCCATTGGCTAAAGAAGATTCAGCAGCCAGGGCAGCAAGAATGTGTGTTTTGTGAGGAAAAAGGAGGCAGATTAGACTGGCCTTGAGGATCCTGCGCTTTCTGTTCTTACCCTCAGAGTTTTGCTTATCAGCTATGGGGCTGTCAGCCTCCCTGGCACCCTGAACACAGGAACATGAGAAAGGCTGTAGGACAGCAAAGGGGCAGCAAACACTGCAGCCAACACTGCACCAGTGAGGTCTGGCTGTTGCCACACTTTGCCTTGTTATTTCTCAGTAAGGGGAACAGATCCACCCTCAGCTGCTTGGCAAAGCTGTTGCCTCCCTGCTAACCTTAACTCTGTGCAAACAACACTACATGGGAAACTGCCAGGAATGGAATTCCCCTGTCTTGGACTGGTGACCTCTCCAAAGCAGTGGGTCTGCTGCTCACACTGAGACCATCTTGAGCTGGAGTCCAAACCACACGAGGGAAGTTGCATCTAAGACACTGTTTACAGTGTCTGGATTTGGTCATCCAAATGAACTGTGTTTTCATCTTTTCTTTAGTATGTTTAGAACTGGAAGAAAAATGTTATGCTAAACACTCACAAAAAAAAATAAAAAAGAAGTTGGGGTCTTATTTGTAAAGCCTCTTTCTTGTCCTTATGGCAGAAAGCTTCAGTTATGGTGCCTTTGGTGGTTAAATCTGAGCACAGAAAGTTGAATAATGCCTGAACCACTTAAAACCATGAGATGTGAGAGAGCACCATGCATAGGCAAAGCCTGAGATGAACATTTTTAAGACAGG